GAGTAGCAGATTTGCAAATAAGAGTTTATGAATACAAAGACTCAAGAATGAATCTCAAAGCTCAAACACAGTGTTCAAACTGTCAAAGATATGAATACTTTGTAATCTCTTATTTCAGAGACTTAAAATGCACATTCTGTGCTAGAGATCATAAAACTAGTGAGTATAAATATGAAACATACTTCAAAAGAGATGAAATATGTTAATATACTCTGCTTAAGTACTTCAATTGCAAAGAAAAACATTCATCTAGCTTAAAAGAATGTGTATTTACTTCAAAAACTCAGAAGAACTGAAGAAAAGATAAAGCTTAAAGTGAATCTAAAACTGAAGAGAAAAGTCAAGCTAGTAAATCTATAACTGTAAGCTTAAAAAGAAGAAACTTTTAACTATCTAGATCTTCAAACTTCAATTCTTCAGCTAAATATAAATAGAATTTGAATTCTCAAACATCTGTTAAGATTAGAGAATTGAGAAATAACTCTGATAATAAACTAGATAGAATGTAAGTAGTTGAGATTCCTGCTTTTTAAAATAGTTATAATCTACTATCTGATAATAGTGATTAAATTCTACTCTATCTTCACTCTCTTTTAATATGAATGTACAATAAAAATAATAAAAAAAGTTTAAAAACTCTTCAAAAATCATATTTATTTAAAATAATGTGAATAGAAACTTAAATTACATTTATTCTTATCTTCAGATTGTATTTGAATAAAAAGTTGACTTTGTACTTTTTCAAGAATTAAACTTTGATACTGAGTAAAAGTATATTATTTCTTATTTAAGCTATTACTACTTTCTTTCTGAAAAATCTGAGATAAAATCAAGAGTAGTAATCTATGAGAGAAAAAAATCAAGATATTAATTTAATCTAAGATTTCATATCATATCTGACTCTGATATTCTAGTGAGTGATATTATAGATAAAGAGAATAAGTTTAATACTATTCAACTTATAAATATCTATAATAAAAAGTCATTGAAAGAAAACAACAATATCTGAATAATTCATAGAGAATTTTTGAATATAACTTTCTTAAAAAACTCTATAATTGTAGAAGACTTCAATGCATATTATCTCTGATAAAACTTAGAATGCATAAGAGTAGTAAGAGCAGATAAACTAATTGAATAAACTTTTAAGTATTTAATAGATTTAGTTAACAAGTCTAATCAATAAACATTCTTTAGAAAAGATATGAAACAGAAATCTATTATAGATTTAACTTTCATATTATAAAATCTAATTGAAAAAAGACTTATAAACTGATTTATTAATTCAAATGAAACCTCAGAATCAGATTATAAGATTATTTAATTTGATATTAAACTGAGTAAAAAATAAAGAAGTAAAAATTCTCTTCTCTCTAATCAGTATAACTTTGAAAAAGCTGATTAAAAAGCAGTTAAAGAAAGAGTAAAACAGCTGAAATCTGAAAAGCAGAGTAAGCTCTATTAAAATCAAAGTCAAGATATCTTAAATAAAATACTTAAGAATAGAGTAAAGCTGATTACATCTATTCTTCTAACAAGTATTAAAGAAAATATTTCAAAGAAAAAGTCTTCTGAGTATTTCAAATCTTGATAAAATGATAATATCACTTCTAAAAGAAAGTAATTAGTCACTACTAAGAGAGATTGAAAGAATAACTTAATATCTGATAAAGAGTTCAAAGCTATTTAAAATGAATATTTTTCAGATATTAAAAGAGTTAAAACAGATTACTGAAACAAATTTCTTAAAGAAGTATAAGAAAAAGAAGTTTTTAAAGTCTTTAACTATACTAAAATAAGAAGTGTAGTAAAGCTTTCAATCTTAGAATATAAATTTCAGAATGAATTGTATATAGTAAACTTTTTTAAGAAAAAGTATTAAGCTTTTATAAGAATTCTCTTTCAAAACTCATTATATTTAAAAGAGAAAAATATGTCATTTCATGAATATATTAATGAAAATAACTGAAAATAATCTGAGCTTACATGTGATGAACTAGAGTCAGTAATATTCTTAAGTTCAATTAAAACTGCTGCAGGGCCTGATTCAATTAATTACTTAATTATTTAAAATATATATTTCTACTTGAAGAATGAATATTTTAAGCTCTTTTTCAATCTCTTAAAAAATGATTATTATTCTGAATGCTGAAGAGAAGCTACTGAAGTAATTCTTATAAAATTTAATAGAAAAGCTTCAATTTCTAAGTTATATAGAGTAATATCATCTCTGTTGAACTGTTTGAGAAAAATTCTAGAAAAGATAATAGCTACTAGATTATCTTTTATAAGCTCTATTAGTGATTCTCTTCTATTTAATGAATAAATAAGAGGTAGAAAACAATGTTCTGCAATTAACACTGTTTTTTCAGTTATTTATAATATTCAAGTAGCAAAGCATGAAGACCTGGTCTTAACTGCAGTTTTTATTAATATAAAAGATGTATTTTAATAATAACTGAGATCTTTTACCTCAGTAGTCTACAGATTATAAGACTGTTTAGTATAAGCTTATAGATTATAAAACTATTTAATGTAAGTCTTATTATAATTAATATGCATAAGTTCAATTCTAGAATGAACTTAATAAAAATCTTAAACAAATATCTTAAACATTTAAATAGTACTAGAAGATATTCTAGAAGTGTGTTCTAGAAGTAAGTTCTTGAAAGAATGAGTTTTAGAAGTAAGTTCAAAAAGAAAGATCACTGAGAGAAGTCACTAAGAGAAGTCACTGAGAGAAGTCACTGAGAGAAGTCACTGAGAGAAGTACTCTGTGATAGCTGATCTGAGAGGAGGTGTTAAGAGTCCCAGGTTGATCAGCCCTTCTACCAGCAGTGCGCTGGTGGTGACTGAGCTCTTTTGCCCCAGTAGCCTACACTAACGCAATCACTGATCACATGGATCAGTGGTCACAGTGAGTGTTGTGGGTGGAAGCAGTTGGCCCGCAAGGGAGGCAATCCAACACATGGTGATTATTAAAATCCATCTTGTACTTGACAACTAAGCAATAATAGGATTTTTGTATTTCTTGCATGCAGTGGTTCATGCCAAGTTTCCATTGTCACACTCCTCAATCTCTCCTCTTTCACGCGTGGGATGGGCAGCTATATCAAAAACGACAGAATCTTAACAAGGCAAAAATATCCATTTTGGGGATAGTAAAATAGGCGGGCCAAACCATACCCAGCCCAGGTTGCCAGGTGGACAATCCTTTCTTCTCCTCCCCGTGCCGGGCGGGCATCCAAAATCCACATTAAAAAAAGCCAAACCACTCCAGCGGATCGGGGATCTTTTTGGTATCCCCGTTAGGGCTCTACAAGGTGTAGCGAGCGAGAGTCATGGACGTCATTGGACAAAGGATTCCAAGGGTGAATCGCGGTTTGGTGGTTTACCTACGAATATGTTCAGCAACCCGGGGATATAGTATATATAACTCACTTATAGATTTGTGTATATATTATGACGACTCTCAGGGTATCTATCGGGATAACCACCTCGGTAGCAAGTCAAACCCTGCAATGAAACGATTCCCAGAAAGAATCGCGGGCTGAGCTAAAACTCTACATCTCGCTTTGGGGTTGTTTTGTATTCTGCTTTGCATTGCAGTAGCAGCCCGGGATAAGTAGTTGGGGGGTTCGCTTGTTGTAGCTTCTGATAAGGCTTATATCCAGCAGTGGCAGTGATGGATGACGATGATATTATGATTATTATCAACAACTATTATACCTTCCCCCGTCAGGGGTATCGCCAGGCGGACCTCATTTCACGGAAGTACGAGGTGCCTACAACCAATATGCCCTTCCAGGATCATGCAGTGCGACCCATCCATGCCTTGCCTTACCATGCATGCGACGCCTTATCTGGTACTGTTTCTCCTATTTATCATTAACATTATTATATTCCCTCCTCCTCGGTACATTGAGACATATTATGAAGAAAAAGAATTGGCGGGCATGAGACGGAAGAGCAATGTTAAAGCCCATAACTCTCTTGGAATATATTCGGGAGAATATATGAGTTCCCACTTGGCGCTGATGATCAAGAAATCATGACAAGTCCTGGCTATCCAAGCGCTGGATTTCCCTGTTGGTCCCGGTGTGATGGTCCACCAATAGGGGTAACTTGCTGTTCTTCAAAGGGAAAAGCGTCCTCGTGGCCTGACTGGTCCAAGCTTGTGAAAGGGGGCGAGCGCGCCGAGCAGGGGAGCTTCCATCTTGAGGCCTCAATACTGATTACCGATGCGCTTCACTGCCCAGACTGAGATCGATGGTGTCAGCTGTTATGCCGGCTTTTTTCGTGGGGATATTTTGGCATCATATAAATGCTCAAAATGACAGGGGGTGTTGTCTTCTGGGTGAGCAGTAAACTTGTGATAAGTTACTGTTATCAAGTTTGACAGCTCTGATGGTATGATAGTGTTAGAATTGGGGAGGATTGGGAATTTGCGTCAGTGAGGAGTTGGAGCGGGCAAAAAGCTAACTGGCATAGTCTGTACGGAGTATACAGCGGCAGAGATGGAAAACAGTATTAAATATCGACACTTACCGTCGTTCCCCTGCCTATAAATTATTTGACGTTAGATCACAAAGCCGTCAAATGACCATTGACTAGATTAAAAGTCCGCAGGGCGCGAGACACCCATCAACATCGGTCGGCGAGGACTCGAGGCTATGGGCTGGGCGCCACAAAGGATGTCGTGTTGCTTCCGCCTCTTTCTGTTTGACAAGGTTCGAACTCTGATGCAAAAGTGGGCAAAACATTCCGCTAGATTTTCAGCTAGTGCATTTCCATGAGGGGGTTTTCTTTCCTGCCTGCGCCCTCTGTACGTCGAGGTTTCAGAATTTCCATAGCTCTAATAAAACATCAGTGCGGAACAAGTTAGTTAGCTCAAAATGTAGTCATCCTCCCGCCGCGTGGCACACGCCAAAAAAACTGATGATCCACCCTAGGCTTGACGCTTGATTCTTGAGGAGCTAAACGAGCCGCCATGGATGATGATGGCAGAGGGACGGCTAGCGCTAGGTCCACTTGTAAGTTGGCTATTTGCGCAAGCAACGTCTCCCAAGCCCGCTCAAGCTGTGGGAAGCCGGTCGACCGGCTTCGCAGGCCGTCTGCTCACTGGAATAATATTTATGTAGGTCACTTCTCAATCCTTCGACACGAGATTGTCCTATCCTAGCAGTTAACGAAGGTCTACTAATTTTCTCGGAAGACAGGGACAAAAAGGTGAAGCAAGATACCAATGATGGAACGTTTTCTGTGTGGGTTATTTCAGCCGTCAGGCTCTCCATTCATAGTGGGGGCTTTGTCTTACGCAGCCAGTTTCGCTTCCCACCACCAAGAGTTGAGGTTTTAGAAACTGTATGGGGTGACCGCGGCCGTGGTGAATTACCTAGGTATGCATTCCGTGCATCTTTCTGCGGCCAGTGTGAAACAAGTGGAAACGTGTCGAGGATCATGAAGTTAGCTCGACTTTCGGGAAGAATAGTCACATAATATATAAGACAACTTGAAACCAGAGATTTGGCAGCTTCGGGGGGTTCTTTGAGGATCACTGCTTTGGCACCCAGGCTAAATGCATTTAAAAAACCGAACAGTTGGCATGGGAGCTGTGAGTGGTGGATTCTGCTGTGAGGCACAAGAGCTTGAGAAAAAATCAAATAAAAACAAAAAATAGCAAAACCTTGGTCAGACATAAGTGCTCTCTCTCTGGTGGGTATTTGCTGTTTACCTGAGAAGCAGCTCCTGAAAATACCGGGGTACATACATTGGGCAGTACATTCAGGGTCGATACACCCTCAAGGATTATTGCCATCCCCCTTCCGTTCGGGTATGTATCCCTATAGTTCTCGCCCAGCACAGGTCCAAAATGTGGCTGCACAGCTCATAACTCGATCTGGAAGTGCCATTATCGAATTCCAAATTACAACTACGTGTAAGAATAGAGTCCTTCTTGTTTGCGCAGGCCCAATGCTGACTTTCATGTCAGCATGCTGGTCGATGCTTGCGCAGGGGGTAGTTGATGGAGTGTGTACGCTGTACGGAGTACGGAGTACATAATAAATCAAGGCAGGGGCCAGGAGATCAGACGAGAATCAGCACGATCATCCTGCATGCCATCCATCTCAATCTAACACCGCTACCCAGGTTCAGAGTATTGGAAATTTGGCGAATCCAGACGGGGAGGGCTCGACGGAAAAGATATTATGATTCATTTTGCTTTGAATTTTATTTTTGTATCGTTCCTGAGTGTTGTCCAGATGTGGTGAAGGTAACATTCACACGAGGTCATCCGTAGGACGGATGACTTTTTAATGTTTGGGCGTGGCTACAATGCATTTATCGCCCACTTTGAAGCTCTTGCGATTGAAACTGTAACTATTTCTGTAATCACGGTTCAGTTTGAAATAATGATGGCTAAAATATTACACGTCTGATCAGAGTTTCAAGTGGGGCTTGTGGCGGAATCGGGGAGTAGCTTCCAAGATTCCTTGCTGTAGACTCGTGGTATTTACTTTGGACCGTTTCCTGAAGAACGGAAACAGCTGGAGGATAGCTGCTTGTGCATCACGATGGGCTTGCTTGATGATCTCGGGCTGTTGGTGATATCGCACTGATCAATCAATCCATGAAGAAGATGCTGGTTCAAACTCGCCAATAGAAATTACCCCTGAATGCTGAACAGAAGAGCCCATTCATCATCGAATATAAGGTGTTCGGCGCGCATTCCTTTAGCGCAGCGGCAAAATTGAATCCGTCAATTCTAGGACGTCTTGGCCGGAGGAGAGTGGAAGTATACGCAGTAGTATGGGGTTGTGACTTCACCCAGCCGCGCAACTCAACAGACCCGTTCGACTGGCGGTCATCGTGGGGCCCGGTGAAGATTTGAATACGTACGTACTAACCAAATTTAGCTAATAGATACTTGCAAATACAGAGCCTGTTCTTCATCATCCTGTGACTTATTTTCTCCCCGGGTACACCGTCTTCACGCACGCACTGAAGATATGGATCTTGAGACAAGGAGTTGCGTTCTTGAGGCGGGATAAAACTAGGGACCCAAGGGGTGGTGAAACCAAGCAGATCATGGATTTTTGGTTGGTCCAATTTGCCCCTATGCAGACGCGCGACACGAGTCGAGCTAACGCAGGAACATGACTTTGTAGATGCAGTGTACTCCGTACGCATCACTTGGACAGGCACTCATGGGAGTTCGTGAGAAAGTGGGCGGCTAGCAGGAACAAGGCTAGTGGTGCTTGAGAGGATTAAGATCTTCAACCTTTGGTGCCATCAGGCTGTCAATGGGGAATAGTACTGGGCACGGAGTACATGACTACCATTATTGGTGGCCTATCTATCCACCTTCACCGAATTCGTTGGGTTAGTTACTCTGTTGAGTTGGTCCCGGGGTCCCGAAAGCTACGGACTGAAGCCCCGAAGTGGTGGATCGGGGGCCGCGAAATATGAAGTGGTGGCGTTCCTCCGCCCGTGGCATGGGCCATCAGACGGAGTGATAATAATAATGGCAGCGTGGCCCCATAATAATCCTACACGAAAATGTAAATCGTTTGCGTATCCATGCGCTGTAAAAAGAGGAAAAGAAAGAAAAGGAATTACAGTCGTTGACGTCAACTACTACTCGGGTTGCCCGGCCCACACCCTCTATTCTCATTCATGGATAAACAAAATATAATTCGTCTGGCACGCGTGTCCCCAAAGCCGTGCACGGTATATTCAAGTTTTGAGCAACAGGAGAAAGGTGAGCAAAAAAAGGTCACATGGACGGACAGACGGTCATTTTGGCCGCACAATCATCGAGTCATCGAAGCCATTTTGGGCTCATGAACTGCCGTCATGATAGAAGCTAAAACAGAACTATTTTTTTCCCCCAAGAGACAGGGTGGTGGGTGAACGTGCCCTCCCCTTGTGAAAGAGGGCAACATCCGTCTCGAGATGGATTCTCCCTCGCCAGCCAATAGCATCCTCGAAGCGACGGATCCTGGGTGCAAGCATTCGACCAGGATAAATAAAGGCCGCACGCACAGGGGATAGTTCCGACAAGCCCTGCTACCACCCGCGATTTCAGTAGCTGGCATTTCGCGGCCGGGGGTCCCTGGTAGTGCCAGCTAGATATCGGAAGCAACTTACATATCTATGATGAAGCCATCAGACATGTCGTAAACGAGGAGCCTGTTCCTGGCGGGTAGCTCCGTGTGCCTGGATTATGATTGCCTGTACAGAGTAGTCCCTGGATGTCTGGACACGGAGCAAACGCGGAGCACAAAAATCCTTGGTATTCGGCAGTAGCTTGCCACTCGCAGCCTGTAACCTTGGAAATCCAGACGGGCTTACTTACAAGTTAGTTACCCACAGGGCCACAGCCTCCAAGCGCATGGAGCCCCATAGATCGACACGCTGGAGGCTTTTGTGCCTGTCTTGGAGGAGGTTGGCTGTATTACTATCTGCGTGGATGCTTATTATTTCGTGCTACGACCCGACCAGCTCCATACAGTACCGTACTGGGCCTGACAGAGAGCCGCAGTAGTACTTGTGCGTCGTGGTCAGTTGACATGGTTGGTACCCGAGGTATCTCCCCTGGTTGCACATAACCAGATGTAACTGAGGCGGGCTGCCCCAGTACCTGGTCCTGCTGGCGGATGTTCCTGGGTGTGGTACGGTCACATACGGCCCGTTTCCTCAGTACGGGTACCCTGCCGCAGCCAACTCGCCCCCCGGTACAGGACCAATACGGTGCCTGGCCCTGTACCTGTACCCGTACCGTACCGTACCGCCGTTCCCCTCCGCAGCCCGGTCTGACTTTTGGCGTCTGTCTTCTCTTCCTCATCTTCAAGACGACGACGACGACGACGACTTCTTTCTCTATCCCACACTCTCTCAACGACCTCTCTCAACACACAGTCTTCTTCTTTTCTTTCTTTCATTTTATATTTCTCTCTGTGCCTATCTGTCTATCCTTAATTCATTGCTCCGGCTTCATTACGGTCACTCTTTTACTGTTTTTAACCTTAGGCCCTCGCCTTGTCACTCCTTTCTGACCCGACGTCCCACATCCAACCCTTTGTCACTCCTTCGTAACAACGACATATTTCCTGTCCACCGCACCACTACCTTTCCTTCTTCACGGCATACCTCTGAAATACTACACACCTCCGATGAGATAGGCTTCCTTCCACGGCTGCCTGCAGTGCAGCAATCCCAACTCTCTGTCATCTGAGCTGCGGTCACATTCAACTCCTCCTTTCTATACCCACCTTTGAGCATAATGAGCTACCTTCATCACCCCTTTCCTTTTGGTGGACATGCAATCCCCGTTGACCAGCCCGTTGGCTATGGAGTCCCGATCCGGCACCCCCAATTGGGCCACTCCGTAGATACTTATCTACTCCCCAACGCCCCGATCGATCTGGCAGATTACTATCACCAAGCTGCATTACTGGAAGACTTCGAGCAATACACGGAGAATCTATCGCGCCCCCGGTTAACAAAACAACAAGTCGATACCCTCGAAGCCCAGTTTCAGGCCCATCCAAAGCCAAATAGCAACGTCAAGCGCCAATTAGCGGCGCAGACAAATCTCACTTTGCCCAGAGTTGCTGTACGGACATATAATCCTGCCCACATTCTTTTTCTGGGTCCTTTATCCGGCAATTGGAAGAAAGATTGCTAACTATGAACGTGTTGTAGAATTGGTTCCAAAACCGGCGCGCAAAGGCAAAGCAACAGAAGAGGCAGGAGGAATTCGAGAGAATGCAGGCGAGTGAGAAAGACGAACAGTGGCAAAATAACGACGCCCCGCAGAAAGAAGGAGAATCAAAGCAACAATCGGAGCTCCCGGAATCGTCCACAACCCCCACCCAGCGTCCCGCTTCTATTTCATCCTGTTCAAGTCCCTTGAGCCCGGCGAAGCAGGAGGAACAACAACAAGCATCCGATTTCACAACCAAAACCGGATGCCCTGAGTCGCCCCAGAAAGCCATGAACGTCTCTATGCCCTCTAGTGCCCAATTCAATCAGCCTGTGGAGAATAATGGCCCAGATAGACATGAGTCTTCGGCTATCACATATCATCTTTCTCAGTCTCCTTCGGGAAAGAACGGCGGTAGCACATTCACTTCTAGCCTATCTGGATGGAACGGAATGGAGCATAATCATGCCATATGGCCTTCCCCGCAAGGGGCCGAAGATAGTTTTGATTTCGGCCATTTGAATAGGCACCATGACAACCCACTCGAAATCCGCGTTCAGGGGAGCCCGCATTTCCCTAGTATCCAGTTCAGCCACGAGCCGGATGGATGGGGCTACCACAGCATGCCGCACTTGGTGGGAGAGCAACGGCATAATAGCCAAGATTCAGGCGACGGCTTTTACCAAATACCGTTCCATGCACTACAGTCTCCGCTGTATCCTGAAGAACCACGGCGGGATTCTTACTCCTCGGAACAGTCTGAGCTCGCAGATACACTATTCCACACTGAAATAAACAACGTGATTGAATTATCTCCTCAAAATACGCCCCATTTGAACTTGGCACAGTTGCACCACCAAGCCGAGCCCAGCACCAATTGGCGGTATCCTGAGAAAGAAGTTGATATTGCGGGTAGACGGAAGCGACCCCGGCCGGCTGCCATCGGAACTTCTTCCATGTCCCGTTCATACGGACCTTCGTCCATGTCTCCAACCACTAGGATTCACGGTATGGGTGCCGGCCATGTCCTTCGACATGCGAAATCTACCCAAAACCTGAGCCCTAGTCACACTTCTCGATACCCGGGGATTCGAAAAGCCTCCGCTCCCCAACGCTCCCCTCTAGGCATAACTAGCTTCGCAGAAGCCAGCCTTTTCAATTGCGCCAACGCGACAGACATGATGTCAACAGTGCCTGGTCTGGTAACAACAACCTTGGCTCCGCCAACTCCGTTGACACCAGAAGATCTCCGAACTCTTCTTCCACCAACCCCGAATGACAGCCAATACTGTGTCTCTCCAACGGACGATATGGGTTGCGCGCGATTTTTCCCCATATCCCAACCTATGCAAGTGCACATCGAATCCCCGCCCACGACACCACTGCATTTAGGGGTCCCATCACACTTGCAATATCAGTCCATGGGTGTTCCGATGTCTGCGTCGTCCCAGCGTACAACATTTCAGGAGTACGCGCTCTCTGTCCCAACCAATCCGATGAATGGTGGCCTCTGGTCCGATGTGTCTTCAATGCCATCCCCAGAGACTTCCCATTTACAACAGCCAACAATCCATATGCCCCAGCCAACGCATATTTCTCCAATTACCTATGAGGAGTCCTTCGATTCCGGAAATCCGGCTCTCGTTGAGGACACAGTGACAAGCCAAAGTGAATCACCCCAATGCACTGTGAAAAGCTGCGGCACGCCGACAACGTCATCGCCCCAAGGTTCCACCCCTGGCTCACAGAAAGTGACCGAATTTCTAATCCAGGAATTCCCAGAGCAGCAGGAAGCACACAGGCGGGCAGCCGAACAGCTGCCCCCTCAGAAGCCCATGAACTATACATTCTCCAACCACACGCCCAATGATTTCTAGAAAATTTATTTTCCCTTCTAGAATCCGGGGTTGGCTCTATTAATACTTAATCACCCTCAAACCAACCAACTCTAGTTTAGCAGCCCGTTTACGATTTCTACTAATAAACCTCACGCAAATATATAATTGTAATATCCTTTGCTCTCTTCCCTCTTGGCTTGAGCTTAATCTAATTATCCCACCATCACTCGCTGCGGCCTTTTGTTTTCATCTTGCAATACCCAACCTTACTTGTTGGAAACGTCACGCAACTTTACATTACTACACCACTGCTATTATTACTTCTAATACTACTAGGGGAGAACCTTAACCCAGCTCCCCCGTGCCCTGTTTGTCATGCTTTTCCTTAGTCCATTACTCATCTACATATATTCTATCAATACCCATTTCGCAATCTCTGTCTCTGTCTCTGTCTCTCTCCCTCTCTCCCTTGTCCTTTTGTTGCTGCGGAGCAACTCTTCGGTTTGTATATGACACGCAGAAATGGAAATTTTGGCGGTACCCCCCTGGCTTCTATCGTTTCATTTCATTTCACTTTCATCCTTTTTTTTTTCTTTTCTTTGTCCTCACACGAAAACACCATATCTGATAATAGCTATTATTATGTTCTAATCAACTAATTCCCTACTTTCTTCTCCTTCTACGCAGGCGCTTCACATTCTCATTTCTTCCTGCCTCTGAAACCTTGACTTTTCCCCCTTTTACCATTGTTAGTTTATTGTCTCCTCTCTTACTATTTTTTAATAATACCCCTTGAATACGTTTTTTTTAATATAGCTTAGCATGTTACTTTCTCAGTTCTTTCACTACTACTTCTTCTAACAATGCTGTTTTCTTTCCCCCGTTTTTTTTTATTGTTTTCATTCTTATTCTTATGCGTTGGTTTTTGTCTGCTTCAGTTATATTTTTTTTCAAATTTTCTTTCTGATAGCTTTCTGTTTTTCTTTTCTTTCTTTCTTTCTTTTTTTTTTTTCTTTTTTTTTCATCTTCTTACTTCTACTCTATGATAAACGTCTACAATATCTATCTATCTTCTTACTGCTTCTCTACAACCAGCGTATACGCCCGGAATATAATATTGCTGTTTAATTCTTCATATCTATACACCTTTATAATACAGCATTACTCAATTCTATTAATATAAATAGCATTATGTCACTTACTACCGGGCACATTGTATATAATAGAAATAAAATATTATTTTATTCTTTGCTTCTTCTGGTAACATTTTGATAGAGTAAAAGGTTCAGTTCAAACTCAGTTCAGTGACTCAATCAATAAATGCATCAAGCTAGCTGAAACACATTTTTGTTTTATTGAAGAGTAAAAAGAGAAGGGAAAAAAGCCATCATCAAAAACACAAAAAAAAACTAGAATGAATGAATACATGAAAAGTTAAAGCACAGACATGAGAAAAGAAAACCATAAATGTAAGACAAAAACTAGATACAATTAATACAAATTATATCATGAAAAAATTCCAGATGACAGAACAGAACATAGCTATATAAAGAAGAATGAATTAAAATATAATTAACACAAGAGTAAAAATGTATATAGTAGAAGAAAAAAGAAGAGAAAGGAGAAGAGAAAAGAACTTAAGTAATAACACTAATACTAAGTTAAAAAGTAATAAGATAAAGTAGGTTGCAGGAACAGAATGTGATAATGAGTGGAAAAGAGTAAGCAGTAAATAAAAATGTAATAAAGAAGAAATGACTTTGACAATGATGAGACAAGAAGTAACAGACAAACCTTGTACATTTTGCTATAGGCAACGAAGAAGAAAGAAAACAGAGGTGGGGAAAAGAGGGAGAAAAAGGGGGAGGATGTGTGCGTGACTCAAAAGAAAAGTAGAAGAAGAGACAAAGAAGAAAGGAAAAGCTTTACCAAATTGAGAGATGAATGAATTGATGGAAATGAATACATGATGAGAAAAGTGAAGATGAATATGTTTTTTCAAGGGGGAAACAAGAGAAATGAGAAATGAAGATATGATGAGTGAAAAGAACCAACAGTATAAGTAGCAATGAAGAAAGGAAATGTTGAATAGATACATAGAAACAATTGTAGAAGAAAAGTGAGAAGCAGTGTCAACAGTTGTGTATAAAGAAAAAGAATAGGTTAGTGATTACATCTATATGTTCAGGAACAAATTATTGCATTAGAGGTATCAATTTTTAAAACCCAGACTCGAAAAGGGAAAAAGCGAGTTTCAAATAAATAAAACAGGGAGAATATGGAACAAAACAGCCATCAATGAAAGAGTCAAGATGGGGAATAAAAAGGAAAGAAAAGCAAAAACCAGGTATGAGTAGTGAAGTGAACAAATTATGGTGAGAAACAAATGCAAGTTCCGGCAAGCTATCGTTTCTTTTTGAGTTTCACATAAAAACAAATTTCCTACCCAATCCATCACTTCACAGCTTCTTCAAAATGACGATGGCCAGCCACCAGGTCCTGAGCCCGGCTGTGGCTGTCCACCAGGTTGCATCGACCCTCCAGCCGTGGTGCTAGGCCACCCCGGCATGGAAGCACTGGTACCCATGCCCATACCCATTGTTGATTGCGGTCCGGACATATACTGCTGCGAGCCGGCAGGGCCTTGGGAGGATGGGTACATGGCGCGCGTGGCTGCCATGTTAGAGTATGCAGCTGCTGAGACACCCGGGTAACCCATAGCGGCAAGATTCTGTTGTTGCTGATGCTGCTGCTGCTGATGCTGCTGATGCTGCTGTTGTTGTTGCTGTTGTTGCTGCTGCTGCTGTTGGGATGGTGTCTGTGCGTGAAGCTGAGAAGGTGGAGCACGGTGTTGGTGGCGCGGAGACTGGGAATGGTGGAGTGGTTGCGTGTTGTGTAGATGCGGCGAAGGGGATTGCTGTTGTTGCGGGTGCATCTGTGGAGCGTATTGTGGCACTCCAATCGAGTGGGACGCGGACAGGGGGGATGGCTGTGGTTGCGGAGGTGGCTGACCCCAAAGTTGTGGATTTTGAGGGTAAGGATACTGCGAGGTTTGACTTGAGCCGGGAGAAGCAAGGGAGATGCTAGATGAGCGATGCTGAGGCTGATCAGGGCGCATTCCCTGCGGCATTCCTCGCAGCGGAGATTGGGGTATGGACATTTGTTGATGGGAAGGCTGAGAATAGGATTGTTGAGGGGTCATCATTTGCGTATGCGGCAAAACGGTTGGGTGTTGGTTGGCATTAATCATACCAGATGTCAGTTGTGGCGATTGGAGCGACTGATGGCCCCCTGGGGGGTGCTCGACTTGACCAGCTGGCGATTGACTGGACAGAGGGGTATCGCGCTTCTTATTCCAGTGTTCGTCAAGTCCTTTCGCACGATATCCACGTTGCTGATTTAAAATCTTGCTAAAGTCGGCAGTATGAGATGCATGGTTCATTATTTCTGCACCACTGCTAGGTTGGGTACGGTCGTGGAATGGTTGCCCTGTGGGTTCCTGTCTCGGTCGAGGTATGGAGTTGAACTCTCTCAGTCGAGGATCATCTGCTGGGGCCAAATGAATCATGGGCAGAGGCGTTAGACTCGCTGGATGCGGAGGCATGTCGGGTGGGATGCCGTCAATATGAGGGCCGTTGCTATATATAATATCGCTCTGGCCCAAATTTGGTATCAGTCCCGCATTTGCGGCCTCTGCAGCGGCCGCATCTCTGGCCTTCGCAGCCCCTGGTCGTTTCTCGCCGGCCAGATCCTCTTCAGTAAAACCTTGCTTTCGGGCCTTGCTCTCCCAATAATCATCTCGAACCCGCCGTCCCTCAAGAATGACTCTGCTGCCGAATTGACGGAACATAGATTTCGCTGTCACAATCGCGATCTGTCGAGAACGATACGAGTACGGCAAAATGTCCTGCTGAATCAAGGAATCCTTCTCTGCTTGGCTTGCAATAATTTTATAGAGTGATCTATTCTTGTTGAAGAGAAGATAAGAATCTCGATATCCCAGCACTCTAGCGCATTCCGTGGCCAGCATGAAGAGTTTCTTTCCGCGGTTCGGCACACAGAAGGTCCTGCATTTATACTTGCGTTTGTCCTGTGGGTAACCCAGCGCGTCGACTTTCTTTTCACCATTCTCGTCGAATTCTTTGGGTATATATTCATCTCCTTCTTCCCCCAACTGGTCCGTGGTATGGTCTCTAACGGTAGGTAGGGCCTTGACTAGTGACTTGGTGAGTGTGGTTTTAGCTGGCGTAGACGTCTGTGCGGTGGCCGTGGCATGTTGTGGGATAGGCTGAGGAGGGAGATGAGAAATCTGTGTCTGAGCGGGGGACGATTTTGGCCTTTGCGATGCAGGTGTAGCAGCCGGGTTTGTGGCGGACGAGACTTTGGGCGTCTTGGGCGGTCGACCTCTTTTGCGACGGCCATGATCATCCGGGACTATACAAGTTAGGTACGGTAAACCGGCAAAATAGCAAAGGCAGGATGATAGAAATATCAAAATGGCAGCAACATACCTTCCTCTATTTCACCTTCCGCAGGCTGATCGCCATACTGTTCTGTTGGTCTACTTCGTTTCGTGCCTCTTGGGCTTGCGCTGGAGTTGACATTGGAGGTGGTAGTCGCGGAAGGCGCGGCAAGAGAAGACTGCGAAACAGGGACTGATAATGAAAAAGTCAGCATCAAGCTAGGAATATTCTTGCGATCGTGCGGTGATTCATGGTATCAAAGGAGATCGAAGATAGAAATGGAAATCTTGGCCTCTAGAAAAAGACAATATCTCCCCCCACAACGCGACTGAAGACAGGAAAAGGAACCGGGGGGGGTGAAAGAGAATGAAAAAGCGCGACCAAGAGAAGGAATCATTACCAGGAGTGTTCAAAGCAGCAGGGTTGATAGTGCCAGAACCATCAATCAGATCGGAACCCATGCCGTTCATCGGGGCGGAAACGGGATGTTGAGTAGTATACATGGTGTGCCACACAGGAGGGGAGGTGGAGCGGGCCAAGGATCGACGGGTACAAAGTGAACCGGGTAGTTAACCGAAAAGCGCGCGAACGATACCGGTTGGACCAGACAGCCGCGACGGCGGGGGTTCTGAGTGGTGGAGAAGAGAGAGTGTGGGAGGAAACGACGAATGAAGTGAAGGGGGCGGGACGGGGACGAGGGAGGAGGGACTGGGTGGGGTGGGTCGCGTCCAAGGGGACGGATGTGTAAGCAGGAAGCCGCGGGTGGTTGAGACCAGTGAAAAAATCTAGTGAGGGCGTTGGAATGAGACCAGTCCGAGGATGAAGCTTTCCGATGGCTAGTGATGTGTTGGCGACGCACACGATGCGATGCAAGGTGAAGAAGATCCTTTTTGCTCAACGGTGCGATGGGGTCGCAGAGGGAGCTGCACCTGAGCTGCGCGGCGCCCAAAGGCAGCAAGCAGTAACTAGTGGGAACAGCAGCAGTTGGTGAACTCAAACGGCCGACTTAGCGGGCGCGATATCGCCGTTAGCAGCCGGCAAGCGAGGACAGGCACGGAGGAGAAGGACGAGGAGGAGACGACATGTGCGGGAGATGGTGATGGGTGGGCGGATGGGTGGATGGGAAGGATGATGGAGGCGACGGGCGAGGATGGGGATGGATGGGGATGGGGATGGGGATGGATGCGAAGGTGAGGTTGCAAAAAGGCGACGGACGAGGGAGAAAACCCGATGACGATAGAAAAGCAGCCACACAGACAAGCGTAAGTGTGTATACAACAGTACGGAGTAAGGATGTACGGGAAGGAACAGGCGAGGTAAGCGGATGACAAGACCAGGGAACTTTGGCGGGCGTCGGCGGCGTTCGTCGGGGTATGGGATCGGTACAGGTACGGTCAGCGTAAGGTACGGGCGTGATACGGTACGGACAGGTACGGGCAGGTACGGTATGCTGGGCTTAGTCAGCCGACTGATTTGCGGCTCTGCTGGGGCAAGACGGAAGCTGAGTCAGCGCCGGAAGCCCTAACTCACTCCGGCGGAGTTAGGAAGGGAGAGGAGAGAGGTTGTAGATTTTGCAGAGAGGATGAGGGACAAAGGACGACGAAGTATGGCAGGGGATGAAATATAGGGATGAAAAAAAAGGTATATATATATATATATATGTAGAAGTATATATGTAGCAAGAAGTAGGAAGAGTATGGTGGGCGGGTCAGGCTGGCATCCTTCTTTCGTTTTCTTCGCTGGCTTCTTTCGTCCTTCTTTTTTCTTAGTTACGTATATAATATCAAATATCTTCCGCTTCCCGTTTGCGTCTTAGTGCTTGATTTGTATCTTTCTCTCTCCTTTCCTTACGTACGCTGGGCGGGGGATTTATTTTCTTGTTAATTATTATCTTGGCCCTTCCACATCAGCTGGGAAGGAATAGTAATATTGGGGGGGAGGGGGGGTCCCGCCTTCTTGCATCAGCAAAAAGCGGATACCAAGTTGCAGTACGAGATAACTCCGGACAAGTTAAAAAACAAATTCCAAGAGGGGGAGGGTTGCAGCTCTCGGGGCCGGCAGAACAATCCTAATCGAGTAGGGCGGGGCCGGCGGGAAAAAAAAGGGAGCAACGATTGGAAACAAGGAAATAGACTCGCCAACTTAGCCGTTGATAGGCTAGGAAGCGGTGAGAGGACACACACAGAGAGAGGGAGAGCGAGCGATGGAGGGGAGGGGAGGGGAGGGGGGGAGGAAGGGAGGAACGGGAGGAACGGGAGTTGGGTATGGCCTGTATGGATGGGGGAATCGAATGGGAAAGGGAGGGCGGCCCTGCGAGTGGAAATCGAAAATCTGGGGAAGGGGGATAGATAGATAGGATAGGCAAGGCGACGGTTATTGGACTGGACAAGGCTGCGGCTGGGGCCAAAGGTCGGGTCACTGGGTCCTTGGATTGGTATGTATTATTATTAACTATTCCAAGAAACAAAAACAAAAAACAAAAAACAAAAAAGTAAAGAGGAAAATACGCTGTAATGCGAGGGAAGACAGGAGCTGGAGGGAAGCAAGCAGGTGAGGTGGGGGGGGGATTATTTTAGGCAAAGTCAAACCGGCATCGAAGGAGGGGTTGCGATGAAGGACGAAGAATGCGCGGGCGTCTTGGGACTGGAAATATAGGAGGAATAATAACTAACTACTCCAAGACATCACGAGACAGGGAGGGGGACACCGCGCTTTAACTGGCTGGCGGGGGAAGCCTTCGCCTTTCGTTTGCTTTTTCTTTTTTTTTTATTCCCACTTGATAACTAGTTAATTGATAACACACACCAACACGGGCCAAGGCGATCGTCTGCTCTTTTGCTCCCAAACGCTCACAGGAAACAAAGCAAAAATGGGAAAACATGGCTTGGGCTTGGAGAGAGTTTAGTTTCCTCACGCGCCGCCCTTGGATTCTGGTAACCAAAACGGCGGCCAATATCCATCTTGATTGGAGTAGCACGACGGAGCTAATCCTGGGATCAAGTTTAGTTTAGTTCAAGCGGGAATGACGGAAAACGAAGAAGAAAATTTGTCAGATGATTCAATTGTTTAACTAAATATTTGACTTTGACCCTTCTTTGTGTTTTACGCTGTAAGGATGCTGAACAATGCCCAGCGCATGGGCATGATGATATACGACAGGGTTAAGATCATTGTCCAGGAAATTCTCTTCGGCAGAAAGAGTGTGGTCAGGTCTCTGGCGCATTACTTACTCGGGAACTGAACAAGCAATAACTCCCTTAAAAGAGAGATACAATACCTATCCTACACAATCTACAAAAGGCATAGGCCTCAAGAGCTAAAAAAAAACCCTACTTTCTTTTCTTTCGGAACTTGCATGGCCATTCACTTCCGACGGCTGGCATTTTTCCCTTTTTTTTCTATCTTTCCTTCTTTTTTTCTTTTTTTGCGCGGTATTGCTCCTGCTAGCAGTTCTATCTTCCTTTGGCCGGATGGACAACTGAGAAGAGGGAAGGGAAAAAAAAAAAAAAAAAAAAAAAAAAAAAAAAACCGCCACCCTTGGTCTGTCTGCATCGTTTCATTGTCCTATCACCGATCGCCGTACTTGATTCACCATGCATGAAGGTTTTTTGTTTTATAACCCCCGGTGCGAGGTGAAAATGGCCGATGAATAACGCTACTGTTGCTGCTCGGTTATGATTCGACGCGCATCCGTTGCGCTTGGCTTTGGAGACCTGGGAAGGGAAGAGAGAGGGAATGAGGGAATGAGAGGGAATGAGGGGGAAGAAGGGGGGAGCACAAGGGAGGCGGTGCGCAGGCTCCTGCACAATGTCCATCACCCGAAGAACCACCAGGGCTCTTTTATCTCCTGCTCTTGTCCTACTCGGCACAGCAAGGCCGGTTCCTTCTAGGCATACTTGCATGCACGTACATGTACTGTACATCTACCAATGCACGGTTAGTACTGATCACTCGACGAGTACAAGCTATGGGCCGACAAGGAAGAAAGGGGGGGGGTGGAAGGCTTGTTGGTTGTTTGGCAGCACGAAGGTCAAGATATGAAGGAGTAGTTATCCCTGTTCCCCCGTGTTGCGCAGTCAGCTAGTTAGTTGCCTTCCTTCCTTCTTTCCTGTTGCCAAAACGGAGAAAGGGAGAGGGAGAGAAAAATACAATGCTCTTGGGTGTGTATGTCCCCTTCAGCCTGCAGAATCATGTATGTATGCACTTGGAAGGGCAATAAAATACATCATTGTGCGCCCCCTGGTATGTGCGCAACAATAATTAACTCTTAACTGAAGCTATTTTCGCTACTGAAGAATGTAATGTACTGTACTCTTTTGCTCAGCATGAGGGAACAGGCTTTGTTTTGTCCTCTAATTCATTCCCAATGTTTAGAGAATAATATTTAATATTTTTATTTTTTATTTTTATTTTTATTTTTTATTTTTAAAGGATTTGCCGCCCGGTCGCACGCATCCACCTGATGGATTGTTAGCTTTACTGCCCCCCACCCAATCACAGCACGATCGCATTCTCTGTCAAACCACTGTAGTTACTTGTTAACATGAATTTATACAGCCCAGCTCCATCGTTTATGGTATACTCCGTATACATTCCTCAGTATCCACCCACCGTCATGGGATCCATACAAATTCGCCCTTGCCACCTTTCTTTCTTATTTATTTTAAATGCACTTTGAAAACCAGAGCCTCCATTCCACCCATCCATCAACCGCCCCGCCCCGCCCGCCCAGAGCAAGTTTAAAAAAATGGAGGGTTAAGTTTACCGCGACGCTAACTACCCCGCAAAAACCTAAACCTAAAAAGCACTCACCCGTGGACCTTCTTGTTGGGCATTGGGCAATAACTAGTTAGTTATTATGCAATAACTACGGAGTAGTTAGTTAATCATAATACCTAACTAGTTAAGTTCATAAGTGGGTATTACCAAATCCCCCCCCCCGAACGAGGCGCACCACACCCAAAGAAACGCCCAGACCCTCCGGAGCTTGTGCGCCCCATTTCTTCACTTTCCTGAGATCGTGTTGCCCATTCTGTCATTTTTCATTATTCGTTCCGTTTTCTTTTCTCTTTCTTAATTATATATATAACTATATATTTTCTTGGGACTTCGACGGGAGTTGGTCTGTGAGAGAGCTACGAATCACTGGAACTTCGAGCACAGATAAAAACTTAGTGATATTTACTTCTCTTTTGGCCCGTTCTCATCAAACAAAGTTACTGTACATATATACACATAACTTCTCCGTACGTGAACCCCTGATATCTAATAAGTTGGCTACCCTACCTAGATTGGTTAACTGGCACCTGGGTTAAAAATTCTCAAAAAAAAAAAAAAAAAAAAAAAAAAAAAAAAAAAAAAAGGAAAGAAAAGAAAAGAAAAGAACGAGAAATCAAGAAAGCCACAAGCGCGCGGGGATTTTTCTTTTTTTCTTTTTTTCTTTTTCCCCCTTCCCTTTCTTTTAATGCCTTTTGCCTTCTTCTGTCAACATCCCATACCACACCCTTTAAAACAGCTTTAAAACAGGTGGGGTGCCTGCGTGGGGTTTCTTGTGTAAGGCTCAAGAAGAGAGGGGCCAGTTAGAGACGCCTATCGAGCCCACAGTGCCCCCGTTTCCCTCCATCCCATCCAGGGAAAAGTTTGGGGTGGTTGGAACGCTCAGAGGGAGGGAGGGGAGCTCTGTCCCCCCTAAGATAGGGGACCTCAGGAGTGAGAGGTGAGAGTGGTGGTGGTGCCTGGTCTGGCTAGTTAGCTGAGGTGCGTGCGAGCTTGAAAAGACAAAAGGAATTTGTATCGAACGTGGGGGAGGATATGATTTTTTTTTTTTTTTTTTTTTTTTTTTTTGGTGTAATTGGAGAGACATCAGAAAGCGATAAATTCAAAATTCAATCAGGTTGCATAGGTGCAAGTTCTTACTTGCGTGTTCATCAGGGTTAAAAAAGGGGGTGGTTTTCAAGCTGGAGTCAATGAATTGCGACAGATGGGATTTATGATTGAAGTTTTTACGCAGTGTAATGATAAATGGCTACCTACGTAGATACACACAGTACCTACATAGATCGGAGATCGGAGGATGGTACATACAATACATAGTGTGCGGTAATCAGTTAAATAACTTACAATCGCACACATCCCGGTCGTGATTAAATGAGAGTACATGTACAGTAACTAACTTAGGGAAATACACGAAGGGGAGGCAAGGCAAGGCAGGGCAACACAGGAGGAAAAGTGCGACGCCTGGTAACTAGTGGAGTGGAGCTGTTTTTACATCCTGCTAATCCTTTCTCTGCCATCTCGGATCTATCCCGTCAAATTTGCCGCCTTTGGTTGGCTCGTTGCGATGCTGCTGGCTATGTTGAAAACTTAGGGGTTGGACGCGCCTGTTTACTTAAGTTAGGGGTTCCCAGGATGGCGGGTTGACCCGACTCGGCTCGACTCTAAGCTTTTGACGGGTTGCTCGGGAGGAGTTTGTTCGTTAAAGCCCGGACAGCGGGTATGATATTTAGCTTTAAAGGGATCTACTCCCGCAGCAGCTCGGGAAGTTACAGGGTGGGGTGGGCGGTTGGATTTTAAAATGCCCATGATCTATCTGTAGTTATGGGGTAGTTATATAAAAGAAAGGAGGTGTAAATTCCGTCCCCCATTGTCTGTGAGTATACTCCGTATAGAACTAACCACCAAAGTATGTACAAAGCAGGTGTCACCTGTCACTACATTCGATTCTATGTAGGTACAGAGTGACATGAGCAGGGAGGAGAGAGAAAGGGGGGTTTACAATGTCGATCAAGATACTTTCTCTTCTCACACACCCGCCAACCCTTTTCCCGGACAATGTCTCCCGCCCCTGAAGTTATGAGACTACTATTAGTTTCTGGATGTATGTAGGCAACATTAAACCTTGCCACCTACATCATTTATTCCTTCGTGTGTCTTGCCTGGGGTGATAAAAAAGCCCTATCAAACAGAACCCTGTCCATTAATGATACATTTATACCCTCATCTGACCATTACATCAAAACGGCTCTATTACCTCTTTTGGCCTTTGGCCAGAGCACAGAAAACCCTCATTCACACACCTCGTTGTTGCTGGGGGGTTCACATTTCAACATCAACATTGACTCTGATATTCTAGGCTGTGCTCCTCTCAAGGCCTGTTTATTTTGAAATCTCATCTCATTCTTGAAAATGGGCAATGGATAACTTAGTTCTACACAGAAATAGAACAGTCTTGATGACTGGTGGAGCTTGGAGCTTGTTGATAGTGAGTTGCTCAAGTAGCTTAGTTGTTGAACTGATGCACACTCTGCATGAGCTGTTGGAGAAAGCTTTTAACTATCCTGTAACTACTATGTACATATTCTTTTCTATTTCCTTTGTCTTTGATGCAAGATTTATGTGGCTTGTTGTTGACAGAAGTCTTGTTCCTACATGATGCAGTGACATGTTGCTTAAGCACATATTTTTCTACATTCTCTGTACAGAGTAGACTGGCGCTGGTTCACTAACTTGGCTACTAACTAGTAAAGATGTCTATATGAGGGTATTACAAGGGTTGCTTTTTCTTGCAACATAAGGCCCAGGAAGGAGAGTCTAAATCTATACTTTCACTCCACTCCTTACGTTCAATTAAGATCGCATTTAAGCACCAGGTGCTAATCATCTTTGCCCATCAGACTGTCAGTCAGCAAGGGTATTTCATCAACTCATCCATCCCCCCACACTTTTCAGAAGTTAACAAATTTGCTTTACTTTATTCTAAGACAGCTCCCGTGGACGATAGATTGCATACTACCTATCCATGTAGCGACTTCCTTGCTAGTCTGCTGCCCTGCAAGTCATGAGTTCCAGAAGGCCGAATACCCGGCGAATCCGACCAGAGTGAGCAAATCAGCATGAACTAACTATAACTAACTGTTTAGTTGTGGCTGAAAGTGCTCTCAGTGGAGTGGCCTGTGATGCTGTTCGCAGTTTTAGAGTTATTTCACGGAGTTACGCCCGAAATTGATTTTGGTGAAGACATATCCGGGGGTGGGATTGGCTCTATGAGTAGACAGTGGGTTGGTATCAACTGCATTTGACAGCTTAATGTCTCTGCAGCTTTTTTGAGCATTTTGAGTGCTTTTGACGCTTGAGGAGGAGAAACAGGGCCTATAAACATACATGGTAGATAGACATTACTTTGTGGAACAACTTCATCCTTTCATCTTCAGGGTAAAAATATTCCTTGTCCATGAATAGATTGACTGAAGGTGATCATGAGTTTGTGTGCCAATGGCTGGTGATTGGAATAGATGCAATACCAATGATTCATTCATCAAGGAGAGGGAAATGATAACAAGGAGATAGAGAGATACACGGGGTTTTTAAAAAAAGTGAGCATCAGGCCTCAATGAAGATCCATAGATATCAGGTGTTGTCCCGAGTTAGAGCCTTGAAGTTCTCAGAGAATATGCCGCTGATAATGGTATCATTCTGAACTACTCCATTCAATTCCCACTCCCTTCCACTTCAGGTGCCATCCTCAAAGATATTTTATGACACTGCCCCTATTTTATATTCCCCCGTTACTTTTGACCGTCCCGGCAGATATGCTTAGATATCTAATCAGAAGGTTCTTGTGATACTGCCCGTGTACAGAAACCGAAATTTTTAACTGTAGGTTTCGCCAACGCCTATGAAAGCATATGGTCTCTGCCTGATATATCCCCCTATCACACATACAGGAAGATAGAATGGCCTGGACCTTCAGGAGAAGCCTCGATTTGCCTTTTTTCAGTTACCCCCCGAACGCTGCTGTTGACCTGAAGGATTGAAAATGACATGGTGAATCCAACAGATGGCTACTCAGAGTGGCCGCCCTGCCTATGAACTAGCCGGATATTGCGAGCCGCTTTTGCAATTAATAGTTTAACTCCACTGATATGCGGGATGCTTCATGGCGTTTATGAAAGCAGTGCTAGGCGATGTCCGCGATTTGGCGGGTTCGAGCCCGGATATTTTGAAACATGCAGAGTCCGCCAGGCCCGGGTGGTATCATGTATGCAAATGCCAGTTTGCATGTATGAGTGTGTTTGTCATGCTAATGTTTTCCTGCCTCTGCAAATCTGTAAAAGAAGAAGGGACAAATCGAGGACAAATCGAGGACAAATCGAGGACAAATCGAGGACAAATGAGCAGTTATCATGCAAACTGAGACATATGCTGGCCAAAGAACACAGCATCCGAGCTCCAATGGTTGGTCTTATTGGCTTAGGGAGGGGAGAGTGCTGGCTGATGAGCATTTATTCCTGCATTGCAATAGAGGAGGAATCAGTTTATAAAAGAGGGCCCTACTCTTTCTTGTCAAGGCATCATTGAAACTACAATCTTCTTTTTCTTTTTTGGAGTAAAGTTGTTTCGATGTTCTTCCACTGTCTCTCCTCACCAAGATGAGAACAGCCTCAATGAGGAGTTTTATGGCTGGAGGCTTTGACTGAATATGAAAGAACTTCAACAAGCTGCAACAAATCTGTGTGAGGATCTTAACACCGCCTTGAGCACAGTGGGAGGATGACATGCTTCATCCCATATTCTACCCGCCTTGAAACAAATGATATTCATCCTTCCTTCTTGCACCTCTTTGACAAGCCTTCCTTCAAGCTTCATTAGCCCCCTGTGGCCCTACCCTCAAGATAGATTGTGGTCTCCTTCATATGATAGCAGTCACACCATCAATGGCATTCCAAGAAAGCTGAAGACAAGGTGACTGAGGCCAGAGTAAAAGGAATACAGAAAGTACATCCCTCAGCGCAGCAGAATCCAATGAAAAAAAAAAATGGGGGGAGGGGATGACTTTACCCATTCAGCACACTGAATTCAGATTGTGAAACAGATTCAACAACAGTTCTAAAAAAGACTGATTTCATGGTCTAAATTTCCCAACCACCATGATGATGTCTATCAAGAGCGAACCGCCGGACGCAGAGCATTCAAAATATCCTAGCCCTTCCATGCACTCTGTGAGAGAGTATGACATAAATAGAAAAGCGAATGGGGCGCGGGTGGTCAAATCCTGGCTCCCATTCTCCTGAGCAAGCCAAAACAGAAACAACTCTGTTTAACCCCTGATGCTGGGTACGTGAATTTCTCCGCGATGGTGACTCCCTTCGACCCAGTTTCTGGGCACAATCAGAGCAGATAGTGATTTTGGGGTACGACAATGCTTGTGTGTGCCTTGAGATCTGACAGGAATAGGGCCTGCAATTTGTGTATAGGAGGAGCCGGAGTGTCGGAGTAATATAGCGTCATGTTCATGGCTGTCAAATGTTCAAGTTAGCCCTGGATGGGTACTTTAGATATGAACAGGGGGATCAAACCTCTCAGAAATTGGCTTGAGTCAGCCAAAGGCGGGCGCATACAAAAAACGCTTGAACTGAGTCAAGTCAGGCCTTAGAACTATTTCCTGGGCGAAATCCCGTCAGTCATTTGAAGGTGGCTTGACTCCACCTGTGGACATAAGGCATAACTGGCCATGAAATCAGCTCAGCCTTTTCTTTTGCCCAGATTTTACATGGGCTTGACCAGTATTCATCAGACTCCTGAGTTATACCAACTTTTCAAGTTGATATGCAACAGAGAGAGATTCACAGGAAGGATTCATGGTATTCTCTTGTTTGTGTGGCGCTTCCTTGAAATATCGCCTGGAATGCGCCAACAAGTTCAAGTTTCAGAAACGAAGCCATTCGAATTGGATTATTTTCTCTCCGCCGTGAGTTGAGGCCACGGTCGGTTGATACCCATAATAAAGAGAGAAAACATTGGCAAGACGAAACTTGTCTGTTGGGAATCTTTCCGCCCAAAACTTGGAATAGCGAAAAGTCCAACTTGTCCTCAGAAGTTGATTGGCGAGCTGAAAACTGCTATTCGACTGGAGTAATTAAAACCGGCGGTCTTGTTCCATGGCACGAACTCCAGACTGCAGATCTTCCATCGTAGAGAATTGGTTCTCCAAAATGGCACAGGGTAGGATTTCTGGTCCAATTGTTGGTGTACTGTCTAGGTTATTCATCGCCACCCAGATCTGGAGAAAATTAAGGAGACGAACAGGACTACGGCCTATTTTAAAACGCACGAATAATATGCCAGCGTTTGATTCATATAAATTAGAGCCTATTATCAGCTGAGATAAGTAAATACAAGTAAATGAAATTTGAAAACTCCATGCCGAAGGAGTGAGGGTCACAGAAATCCAAGGAGGAGGGCACTTGATATACTCAATCCGACCACAGCCCAGCCAGACCTTATGACCTGTTTATTGCTTAATCCGCAACTCAAATCCCATACCAAGTGTCTCACGCCGTTGAAGGAGTGGAAGGTAAATGGAAGAGCAACAGTCGTCCTCAAAAGCACCTTGGCAGCGACGGGGAGAGCTCCGAAAGACGCTGCCATAGACGCAGAGTCAATGTGCCAACCGAGCCAGGGAGAGGCAAGATATACAGCAAAGAAGAGATAGAAGCCTCCAGACACAAGTAGCCCAGTGTTACGATGGAGGATGGAGAGAACGGAAGTAACCTGAGGTCGGTAGATGGTTAGGTTGGGCGATATCGGGCGGTTGAGACGCTGTTTGCGAAGGAGATCATTGGGATCTTCTGAGGCTTTAGTAGACGATGCGGTTTCTCTTGTTTAACTTAGCTGTTAGAATTGACTTGAAAATCCGAGTGCTCCGGCGATGTCGGGTTGTGATGTTGCGGGACTGGTTGGGTTGATAGTGGCGGACACGGTAGGAGGTTGAACATCTATTATCACGGATTCCTCGTGACTGACCTCGTCTGAATATATGCGCTCCTAGTAAAATTGATTGGAACTATGTAGTTTAACAGAGCCCGACTAAATATGCAATGCGCTGCGAGGGATTGTATTATTAGCAGAGCCCTGATCTCCTATTCTCCAAGTTCAACATACATCGTCGCAGCGACTGCTGCATAATTTTCTGGGAAATCATTCCGTGTTGGTTGGCAGCAGAAGGCAATTAGCTATCATAGTAAAGAGACTGTCTTGGAGGGAGGAGAGAGAGGTGGAGAAAAGATAAATCAGAGGATGGCCTGAACGCTATCACTCGTTTTATGAAGTTACGAGTCGGTCAAATTCCGGCGCTATTCTCAAGTCAGTGCTTACTTTTACTCAACCCTGCACAATTAACACCCCCGTACAGAATAGACCCCTGACGCGGAAATAGCCCGAGCACATTCTACTCGCCGGCGGTTGTCTCTTTTCGTATATCATATACATACGTTCAAACAATGGGATATAGCCTGAGTTAAAGAAGATGGGTTCCGACTTCGCAGAGTTTAAAATTGAAGTCATATTCTGGTTCTGATACGGATTAGATCACCGTTGATACTACGTAGTACGTCTATAAGCTGAGGGGCAGGATCGCCAGTTCAAGCGATTTTTGTCCACACACTGAACCTACCATCGCCAAATCTGTCCCCCTGTTTTATGAATTATTGATATCGCGAAATAAACATATTTCAGGTGAATAGCCGATCAGTTTAGTTGCAATGTATGGCGCACTCCGCTTCCTGAAAATATCTAACTACCTAAATCAACGAGAACTGCATATAGTCTGAAACCCATTCCTCAGTTGAACACTCGACTTTCTAAAAGCCTTCTGAGGAGTAAGCTCATAGGCTCTAATGGTCCAACACTGTGTAAGAAATCAACATTTCTGATTTCTCCCTCCTACAGGACTGACTGGCGTCAAAGGGTTAGAGATATACATATCTTATTACCATGGTTTTGAAACTGCGTCAGGGCGGATTTCATTCACCTAAGCCGGCCACAGGATTCAGCAACCATGGGCCCATCCGACCCTTAATTTTAAGCTTAAATTTAGCGACAAAGCTTAAAAGCTCATCACCAACACAAGCCGGCGCAGCCTATCAGTAATAGTAGTGTGATATTACCAATTTTCGCCCTTTACAAGTTCCCTCTAAATCGAGTAGTCACGTCTCCTGTTAAAATTTTAAGTATTGCTTCCAAAGACTAAAGTACTGAATTTATTATAAATTTCTTGCCATTAGCAAGGAGCAAACTATGTGTCTCTGCTCGAAATTCCGGGGCGGACCTTGATGTGCATGTTGAAACGGATTTTTAGTCTTTCCAGTATGGACATGTTTCCACACCTGTGACGGCAAAAGGTAGCGCGGGCAAGGCGAGAGACTGCAAGCGTTTTATCAACTATTTGGGAGTGCCCTTCTGGAAAATTTGGCAGTATGAACCTCCTCCGCTGAGCCATCAATCCGCGTTGCCCTAACTGCCGCGTTAACCTATCTCATGGCAAAATTATCAAATAATGCATGCGCGAAAGCTCGTGGCTTTGTCAATTTCCTTTCCTTTTTTACAATTTTTCTTCCTTCATTTCTCTTCGTTGAAGGTTATCCAACATCTCTGATATATATATCTGTAACTCATTCATTCATCATTCACTTTCTATGTCTATGTTATCGTGTTTTAGTCCAAAGGAAAAGAAAGGAAAGAAAGGGAAAGCAAGAAAATGGCAGCACAACAAGAGAGCAACAATACTCCGTCCAGCTGTTTGCATCTTGTTTGTGCGCCGAAAAGGGTCTTGACGGTAAAAACGAGCGTATGAACAAAAAGACCCGCGGTAAATTGACTCTGGGGAAATGAATAATACTAAAATAAACACCCACGCAAACAAACTCCTTACAAGGATAATATTTCTAAGGCAATGCAAGTTCATCATCATCATCGTCGTCATGATCATTCCATCCCAACTGGTCATATATAGATTTCTCCGGCGTCGCATCTACTACACAAATATTAGTATTGGCGGTCGGATAAGTGCTGCCGCCCGCTCCAGGCACAGACTTAACAGCAGCTGTGTTTTTTGTTGGTGTAGTAAAAATTATGGTTTCTTGGTCTCGTCTATCTTGATTATCATTATCGCGGGTTAGAGATCGTGGTACATGATTGTTTTCTGGGGGCAACAGGTAGGAGGATGATGTAGGACGGGGCGGCGTTTCTTGGATTGAGGAGGTTGGGTTATTGATACGCATAGCAGGAGGGTTGTTAGTAATATGATTATAGTTATTGTTGTTTCTGTCGTTGTTGTTACCGCCGAGGGTGAGGCTGGGATATGATCTCGTTTTCCGCAACGCACTTGGCGACATGTCTTGTTGCTGCCCAAATGGTTGGTTCGTTTCCGGAATCTTGGGGACCTTAAATAAAACGCCGGATTGCTTGGGAAGCGGAGTCGAATCGAAGTCATTATAATCGGTAGTCCCGTCATTCGATGGGCGAGATGACAGTCGTGTAGATGTTTTTGTCGGTGTTTCATGGATCGGGCTGTGACGGCCACGTCGCGAGGTGAAAGCTTGTCGACCAGGAAGCTGGCTTGGTCGTGTTGACGAGGATGGGATGAGTTGGATGTCACTACTCAATGCCGGCGATGGAACGAGTTTCTCATTCGACGAACTCAATGCTCGGCTAATGCGTGTCAAGCTTTCTCCGGCAACAGCACTACAGTCTTTTTTCCGCGACCCTCTAGGGGTAGCCATTACCTGCACCCCTTGACCAAATGGGTTTCGGACAGGATTCTTTGATTTTCTTGTTGACCCTGTGGACACTCGTCTTTCTACAGTCTCTGCAAAGTCTTTCGCAACGAGTTCCCTGTTGGGCTTTCTCAAGGCATTGATGGCTGCATCGAGCTCTTTCTTCTGCTCCAGAAGTGAATTCATCCGCTTTAGTTTCACTTCGTGCTGTTTGGCAACAGCGTCAAGGTCAATTTCTCGATTATCCACACGCTTTGGTTTCTGAATCCCTCCACGTGCACCTGATATCAAAGACAACAACGGTGGTTCGCTGTTTTCGCGTTTCAACCCGTCCAAACTCGCGACAGTGTTGGAACGCGAGAGCGATGGTGCCCTGCTCCTTGAAGCCATTTTCTCATCAGTCAAAACGCGTTGTAGGGTGCGCTGTGATCTTTGGCTGTGGGTCCTCTTCACCGCGGCTCCGGGCTGTGCTGCTGACCCCGATTTTGATCGAGAAATTGGAGGACGACTCGGGGAAATAGCAATAGGTCCGCCCAGCTTTCGGCTGATGGTTTTACACTGATCCGGAAGACGACCCGCATAAAAAGGGATGATGACCTCTGTACAAAAGTCGCGAAGCTTATCATTCTCTGTTGCCTTACCGGCTGATTCACTCTTACCGTTAGCAGAATCGGTGAGTAGAATGTCGCTGAAGCTCACAGCATGCCAGATGCATAGCCTATCTACGAGCAATTCAAGCAACACATTTAAGTCCTGCTGTTTTTTCCCCTTTGTTCGCTTCTGGGGCTTGCTAGCCTGGGTTTCTGCGGCCGCTGACAACACTTGGGCAGCTTTGCTATTGTACGAAGCTTCCAAAGAGATCGTCTCGAGAATCAAGAGAACCTGCAATTGAGTCTCTCGTAGTCGTAAGTCGCCGATTAGCCGCTTGACTTCCTCTTGCCTAGATGACTGCTGTGGAACGGATGCTTCAGAAAGGCTCCGATTTCTCCACCACTTTCTAACCAAATCACTTTCCTCTGGATACAATCCATTTTCCCCAAGTTTTGCTTTCCTGGCTTTTCGCTTTCGAGGTTTTGCTGGATTTGCTGGGACTTCATCGTCGGACATTCCTATGGGGATATCCTGTATCGCTTTTGGAAGAGAGTCTTTATATTTGAGGTCCATTTTTTTCATAGGTAGTATGCACTCCCTGTAGAAATTCGACAGGTCTGTGGGTTTCATTGAAATTTCCTCATTGGGAGATTGGAAACTAGCCCGCGCTCGGGAAAGGGGTCCCTTCGCAAAATATGCCACCGAAGTCTAGAAAGAATCAGCAGAGTGAACTATATAGTAAAAGCATCAGGGTGATGGCAGAAATAATATACCTTCGAGATATATAATGCCTCAAGATACTGCGACCTCAGGTTGTCAAAAAGTTCCTGGGGAGATTGAGTAACTTTCGCTTCTGTAGATTCACACAACGGAAGGCCAATTGCCTGCAAGTGAGAATCAAGCTGGGTATCCTTGCTAGACACCGGTCGCAGAATGGTATGATGGGTATCAGCTTCTAAGCCCATTGAGCCCCTCCCATCAACCTGATCACAATGTACGCTGGAAAGTCCAGAAGTCGAGCTCAACCCACTCATGTCAGTGCTAAGGTCCGGAAACCCCTTCTCCCTGCAAAGCTTCGGGCCAAATGCAAGAGTCACATCTTTCGTCATAGCCTTCCGTTTCCCAGAAAATGTAGCAGCTGGGTCAGGAACTGTGGCTTTCTCCAACCAATTGCCCTGTTTCTCGGTACGACCACCCTCCTGGCCATTATCGTCACCAACTAATTCTTCACCCACAAAGTCTCGCATAGGTGAAGGAGAGCTATACCTCGCCATTCCTTTCGCTGCAACCATCAAATCCCCCTCTACTACCCAACTCCCCAGTGCACATACGGAATATACCCCCCTCCTAACCCTCTCCACAACATAAAATTCCTCCTCCGACTTCCCCGCCCCCTCCTCCTCTTCATCAACTGCAAGTCGCGCAGCTAGAACAACTGGGCCACATTTGCGCTGCTGCTGTTGCTGCTGGTGCAAATCCAAATCTAGCGCCGGAATATTCGCAATGAACAGTCTACCAGACTGTATGCGCTTAACAGCGCTTGGACAAGGGTCGAGCCATGATAATGGCAATCTGGATCTAGGAACGAGCGCGATCGGGATTAATTTTAGATTGACTTGCGGCCGTAGTCGTGATTGGGGAGAGTCTGGGTGGGGCTATTGTAAATTTATTATGTTAGCTGGGACGGTATTTAGCTTCTTTTAAAAAACGGGTTAGAACGCGTAGCATTGTCCCGGGGAGTTGGACCTGGGCGGCGCGGGGGGGAATCGATTGATCCTGAGGACAGAAAGAAGGCTTCGAACAATATATACATACCCGTATCGTGAACGGAGAGCTAATGAAAGCCGCCTTGGTCTCCGTCCGGGGTATAACGCTACCTCCACCACGGGATATCTTTCTCCGCTTCAATGGCTGGGCCGTTTGTGTTTCCTCTTCCTTCCTATTCTCCTTCGCCTTGAGCGAGTTCAACAGGGTCGGGGATGCCGGTTCAAGAACAGCGGCAGCAGCAGGGCCGGAATGCGATGATGCCATTCCAGTTTCGACGCGTCAACGTCTGGGTGGGCATAATTGTATTTTGTATGTTTATGTTTCTGCTTTCTGCTTTCTATATACAAGCAATAGTTAAATAGAGTAAGGAATGGGATACACAGGAAAGGAGGGAGGAAAAATATGGTGTTTGAAACTCTTATAATTTCAATATGGGGAGGTTGGTTGAAGTTGGGCGGGCTTGGAGCCTCAGTCAAAGTGCCCGCGACTCGCGCGTTGGAGACGCAGTCACGTGGTGCAACTGGGTTTGCTATACTCTTGTAAAGGGGAGGGAGGATTGTGAAACTATCTTGGACTCTTCTAAAGTATCTTTTTTTATACTCCGTATGTGTTTTGATCTCTTCTTTCATGGCCCACTTTATTTCGAGTATTTGATTACACTGAATACGGGAGGCCTTGATAATCTGCTCCGTAGTAACCCGGATTTTTTGGGACATTTCGCTACTGTGAAAATCCATGGGATGATGATGGATGATGATGGATGATGAACGGGGTATGTGCAGTCCATTCAGATTACATACATTATAAGTATTGTTGTCTCGTTTTCCACAAGATAAAAGACCACTGTGGTAAACCGAGAATGACATGTCCCCTTTTTGAATCCAGCGAGGTCTTGAAAAGTAAAACGCTCGAATCTGGACCCGAGCTAGTCGTTCCACCCAGACAAAGGAGATATAGAAACTTTTAGGAAAAGAGCTCAGCTGCAAAAGAGCACACAAACAAACAGAAAAGTTAAGTCGTATCCCACTCTATATATCTTTGCCTTGCCTGGTGGAGAAAAAGATGTTGAAGACTTTTGCTCCGCAAACGCCCTGTGATGAATAACCCGTCAAAAAGAAATCATGAAATTGGTATCATATGTTGAATTTTTCTTCCAGAGCCCGCAGAGTTGAGGAGGCTCGAAAATGCAAACAAAAAGTCACGCAAAAGGAAGTAGGGAAAATGGCGAAGAGAAATTAATGAACAAGAGAAGAAGAAAGTACTTTCGTTGTTGAGTCTATATGGCGCTTTGAGTTGTTGAAAACAAAGCAAAATCGTCAAGAGTCGTGAGACACCGTCCCGTTTATGCGAGAAGGAAAAAGGGGGAAAAGCGAATGACCTCTAAAATTTAAGGGTCTTAGGCTTCTCCCATGAGAAGCTCTGGTTGGTGAAATGGCCGTATTTGGCGGTTTGGAAGTAGATGGGCTTGGCCAGGTCCAATTCCTGGACAATGACACCGGGTCGAAGATCGAAATTGTTCCGGATGATTTGGACCAATTCCTCTGAAGTCTTCGAGGAAGTACCGTACGTCTCGACGAATATTGAAAGGGGCTCCGCGATACCAATGGCGTATGAAAGTTGAACCAGGGCGCGGCGGGCAAGTCCTGCGTTAACGAGCGACTTGGCGATCCATCGCGCAACGTAGGCGGCGGAACGGTCGACCTTGGAATAGTCCTTGCCAGAGAAGGCACCACCACCGTGAGCACCCCAGCCTCCGTAGGTGTCTACAATAATTTTCCGGCCGGTAAGACCAGCATCACCCTGGGGACCACCGATGACAAAGAGGCCAGAGGGTTGGAGATGGTAGGTAGTGCGATCGTCGAGGAGGTTGGCGGGGATGATCTTCTTGATAATCTTCTCGAGGAGTTCTTTTCGTATTTCCTCCGTGGTGATAACTTCGCTGTGTTGAGCGCTGATAACGACCGTGTCTACGCGGAGGGGCTTGACGGCGCCATTATCATGGGCATATTCGACGGTGACTTGGGTCTTGGTGTCTGGGCGGAGCCATGGAAGAGTGCCATCAACACGGGCATCTCTCAAGGCCTTGTTAAGTTTATGGGCCAGCTGAAGGGTCAAGGGCAATAATTCGGGTGTCTCGTCGGTGGCGTATCCAAACATGATACCCTGGTCACCAGCACCTAGTTTCTCGAGAGCCTCGTCGTAGTGGAGACCCTGAGCGATGTCAGGCGATTGTTGCTCAATGGCAACGAGGACGTTGCAGGTCTTGTAGTCGAAGCCCTTGGAAGAGTCATCATAGCCGATGTCTTTAATGGCGTTTCGGATAATCTTCTGATAATCGAGGTGGGCCTTGGTGGTAATTTCACCGAAAACCATCACCATACCTAAAAGAGGGTTAAGATATTGGACAGACGAGTACAAGCGGGGCTGATTTTAAGTCAATGGAACCTACCAGTTTTGGTGGCTGTTTCACAAGCGACCTGTTTAGAGCCATGTTAGGGAAAATTTGAGCAGAGAGTTTTCCCCCGCCTCGGAAGTTTTAGTACGGAGGGGTAGATTTACCTTGGAAAGCGGGTCCTGGGCGAGACAGGCATCGAGCACAGCATCCGAGACCTGGTCACTGTGAAAGCGTCAATGAATGAATCGTAGATGAATAATGAAAAAAAAAAGGCGCAATTGAGACAGCATACTCACGCAATCTTGTCAGGGTGGCCCTCGCCTACGGCTTCCGAGGTGAAGAGGAAAGTTCCCTTGGGAACGCCGTTCTGAATGCTGCCCATTGTGAAGGAATGAAGGGAATGGAAGGTTAGGAGGAGTTAGGAGGAAAGAGAATAGACAATACAAGACTCTGATACAACAAAGACGATGCTAGAGAGGGGCAGGAGGGGGAGAGATAGAGAGGGATGAGAAAAGAAAAAGAAGATGATGAGGATGGAAGAAAATCCAAAAATTGGGAACTTTGGAGGCGGCGGAAAGACATCTAACGCTATGCCAAATCGGGATGAGTGCCAAGAAATGGTGCAATCGGTTTGATTAGGAAGGCGGTGGTGTCTGGCATAATAATGATGAAGAACAATCTTGATCTAACGAGAGTATACATGTACAGCAGTATAACAATATTGCAGCGACTATTCCAATGCGCGGTATTAGAATAGGATAGGATGCTACCTCATATTAATTTATATTACACCGTTCACTACTAGAAATACAACTAGCATGATGATAACATCCCCCATATCAAGCTTTTAAGCTACATACCATTGACGCCGCCCCTCCATCGATCTTTTGGCACAAGCATCCGCACAAAAAAAAAAAAAAAAAAAAAGAAAACACAGCAACAAAACACCCTCACCATGTCGAAATTCGGCGTCCTCGTCATGGGCCCTGCAGGCGCCGGCAAAACGACCTTCTGCACCGCCCTAATCCAACACCTCCAAACCACCCGTCGCAGCTGCTTCTACGTCAACCTCGACCCGGCCGCAGAATCCTTTTCCTACGAACCAGACCTCGACATCCGCGAACTAATCACCCTCGAAGATGTCATGGAAGAACTAGGCCTAGGCCCCAACGGCGGCCTGATGTACTGCTTCGAATTCCTCCTCCAGAACCTTGATTTTCTAACCGAGGCCCTCGACCCGCTCACTGACGAGTACCTGATCATCTTCGACATGCCAGGCCAGATCGAGCTGTATACACATGTCCCGCTGCTTCCGTCGTTAATACAGCATCTGTCCCGCGCAGGGCCGTTGAATATTTCGCTCTGTGCTGCGTATCTACTGGAGAGTACCTTTGTTATTGATCGCGCCAAGTTCTTCGCAGGAGCATTGAGCGCCATGTCTGCCATGATCATGCTGGAGATGCCACATGTAAATATCCTAAGTAAGATGGATCAGGTCAAAGGGATGATTGGAAAGAAGGAGTTGAAGCGCTTCACGGCTGTGGATATTCAATTGCTATATGAGGAGAATCAGGGAGGTGGTGGTGGGGATGAAGCAGAGGCAGCTAGTGCAGCAGCGGAGGACCCCACATCTACAAATTCCCTGCTGAGTGGTGACTCGTTTAGGCGGCTTAATCGGGCAGTTGGCCAGCTGCTTGACGACTTCAGCATGGTGTCATTTCTGAAGTTGGATGTTCAGGACGAGGACAGCATTGGTAGTGTGCTGAGCTATATCGATGATGCGATCCAATTCCACGAGGCGCAGGAACCCAGGGAGCCGGCTGATGAGCGGGAGGTAGATTTGGAGTAATGGCACGACACATGATCGTGAAAAAATTTCCGAACGGCAGATCTTTATATACCCCTGCCATTCCCCCCCCGTTTATGGGAGTTTTTGAGGGACGCCCCCCTACAGTTTGACAGGCCATCGATGGCTGAATTCGACGAACCATCTACTGCTGAGGAGAGGATTGGCATTATCTTGTGGGGACAACATTTCCCATTATATAAACTTAGCAAGGGGGACAAACGAGTGCCGGCAGCAGGAAGGCCCGGTTTATGTCAAAAATTAGCGGATTGAGCTTGAAAAAAACAAAAGGCAATCCGCACTATGAATAGTTAATGAATCCGAAAAAGACCATGTATATAATAACATAATATGACCATACTGAATCAATGAAAACCGGACTTTGCAGAGCTAGTCAAGAAGTCAAATCCAACTTTCCAATAGTATTAAAAATAAATATATCCGGCGTGTGAAAGGCGTACGAGAAAGAGGCGACAGAGAACACGATAAACGCAAAAGCAATATATCGTCCCAACAAGAAAGTATCATTCCAATCATAAAAAAAACCAGCCCCTCTTGGCCCCCACCAAAGCCCGCTCCGTCAAGCTCGATTCTAGCCTGTCCTCTTCCGCGCTTGCTCCCACCGCATCCCCCCATATATCGGCGGCGTCTGCCCCTGCCCTTGTCTCTGTGCCTCCAGACTATTCGCCCACATCTCCTCCACAAACCCCTGAAGCAACCCCAACAACCACCCAGCCTCCCTCCCCGCCCTCTCCCACCCAACAACATACACGTAATACGCGCCCCCAATCACAGACCCCCAGAATGCAAGTCGGAACACCAGCATGACCCAGAACGTGATGATGCGACGGGCATAATCGAGTACTCTGAGAGAGATGAAGAGGAGGAGGCAGAGGACGAGGAGCGAGGTGAGGTCTGGTGGGGAGTTTAGGAGGGTTTGCAATGGGGTGAGGAAGTAGGGCTGTAGATATTGCTGGGAGATGGGGAGGAAGTGTGTGGTGAAGGTGGAGTAGTAGGAGAGTGCTTGGAGGGAGATGGAGGGGGGGATGTATTTGTTGGCGTTTTGGAGGGCCGGGATTACGTATTCTGTTTCGTTTCGTTTTGTTTTGGCGCATTGTTAGTTTTCTATTTAAGTTGATATCTTCGTTGAAAAATGCGAGCTGTGCAAAAGGGGAGGCGCGGCTCTCTAAACGCACCTTGTATCACTTCCATGATGACTGATATGTGTTATATAAGGGCGAAAAGTAGGGAAAACCCGAACTCGCGCCGAAGTCGGAGTACTTAAGATATTATTTTCTTGTTGTTCTTCTTCTATCGAACGAATTGAACCGATGCTTCTTCTTCAAATGCGCGGGCGTTTCCCAGCTCAGGCTATTTAAATAAATAGTGGGCTGGAATGGATATTTTGGCAAACATGGGATATATATATGGATAGCTCCAATCTCCTTTCAAACAGCCTTGGAAATATCCAAAGAAAGAAGTAGACTTTGCGATAGCAGTCCACACGATTCGAGAGGTTATGAACTGGCTAATTCTCATAAATCTACCAGACGCGTGCACCGTAGAGTCCGTACTGCGTCAGAAGCTGATGGTGCTGTCAATGCGGCGATTTAATAGCGGGAAGATCTCGAGATCTTGAACGCACTGGGAAAGGGAAGCTAGCTGGTGGTGGAATAAAAGGGATATGAATTTCGGCGGATAAAAGCAAAGCGAGAAACGAGAAGACAAATGCAAAGCTGTTCTTAAGTTAACTCGATGCCATGCGACGGAGGAAGCGCGATCATTGATAATTATTATTTACGTTGCTTCCATGTCAGCTCCCAGTCAAACTGTGCAAACAGACACAACAAGACAAACAACCCCTTTGCAACTTTTCTGACTCCTATTTAATACTTCTGGCATCAGGACGAGCGTGGGATATTTAGTCCATTTGAGAGAAGAAAGAGATGAAAATTTCCTACATAGGGCTTTATCTCTAAATGAAAAGGTTAAATCATTCCTATGTTCAGGAACTCTCTTCTACGGTTCTAAATTTGCGTGTCTATTCATCTATATATTCAAACTCTATACAAAACTAATATATATAAGTTAACCGTCTAATCATAGGCAGTAGGTCCTTAGAACCAGTCATTTCATTATAGTATATTTCGCCCAAAATAAAAACATCCAAGAATAAAAGTAGAGAAAAAACCATGCCGCCCATAACCCACCCAAAACATTTGCACATGAACAAAAAAGACATCAGAGGATATATACACTCCTCACTCACCATCCAAACGATTCTTCAAAGTACTCTACTCCCCTATACCCCTTCTTCAAAACCTCATGAACAGCTACACGAGCTTCGTCCGCCATCTCCGCCGGTCCACAGACCAAAATCGCCGTCCTCCCTGCAACGCTTCTAGGACAATCCCCACGATTGCCAATTTCCTGCACACTTCTCGTGATGATATTTCTTATATCCGGCCTTCTGGGATGGATATCAATCGGGAACGTATGGCCATGGTTACCATATGTAACGGCCTGGTTATATATACCGTCAACGGATGATAGGAGCGCGGTGCGGTCATCCATCGTATCTTGCTCGAGTTGCAGGTCTCTGCTGCAGGTGGGGCCGCCAATTGATTGCGATTTTGAGCGCGGTTGCAATGACGTGCAGTAGAATTGAGTAGTTATGTCCCCTCTCCCGAGCGCCGGGCCTAGTTCGCGAGCCGCCAACTCATGAATAAACGCCTCTTGCCGTGTGGTCCAGACGAATGATATGTTGTTCGTTCTCGTGCGCGGAGGATCTGTGGAGATCTCCGGCGCGTGAAGAGCTGTTGAAGAGGAGCACGGCGATGATGGTGCAATGAACTTATTATTATGGTGGGATTTTGTTTCTGTGCGCCGTAAATGCTCCTCGATATGTGGGAGGGCAGCTGCGATGCCAGTGCCGCCGGCGATGAGAATGACATTTTCGAATGTATGGAGTTCGATTGGGCCATAATATGGTCCTTCTATTAGAAAACTCGTCGTTAAAGTCTGTTTGGGTGATTTGAGGCAATCAGATCGGAGACGCTTGGTCCAGCCGTCGAAAGGTCGGATCCAGAATACAAGTTTGTATTTTGCGTCTGTGAGATCACTCGTGGTGGCCCTCTTGGGTGCCCTTGGTGTACTAGTTTCGGATTGTACCGCTGTGCTAGCCGAAGAAAAATCGCTGGCCTCAGAGGAAGGAAGGTGTTCACATTCATTACCTATGGCTGACCAACTGCCAACGGTGAACGGATGACTTTCATATCCTGTCCATCGTAATGGTTGATAGATATAATAATGATGGCCCGGTTTAGGCTGCAGATGCCGAGATCCAGGTATGATTTCCAGTTTGATAATGTCAGACGCTTCGCTGTATGATACCACACTCGTTGAGTAGGTAATCGATTTTTTGTTAAGCCGTAGGTGGATATTGCATGAAAGTAATCTCGCAAGGCGGGCAAATCTGTCCAAACTCCAAATAACAACCACCGGCCAAAGGTACCTATCGTATAGATTGAACTCGCCTGCGAAGATGCTTGTGTGTCTAGCATAAGTTAGCATCATCGGGCTTTTTTTATTTTTGAGAATGTTGGGGAGGAAGGGTAGGGCATTTGAGTTACATGAATAGTCCGATAATAATAATAAGTGAGAAGGTGATATGAATGATGAGGAAGATTTCATAATAATTCCGCCGTAACCAGATCGATGAAAATACAAGGAGCAATGACATGCATACAGTCCCCTGTGAGAAGTTCAATATCAGGTCTTGGTTCAAGGGCATTAATAGAGGAATTTGAAAGAAGGATACAAGAACTTACAACGACGCCCATATACCACCATGGATTGGGCCAATATAAGAAATACGATCCGTTCGCTTCAAACCAAAGACAATGTGACCAAGTTAGTTAAAATAAGAACCTAAACAAAAGAAAGAAAGAAAATCTAGCTAGATTAATGACATGGGAATTTTTCTAACCTTGCAATGTGAGCACCGTGTATCCAATCGAATGAACGATAGCCTGGATCGTAGCCACCCTTGCAATCGCTCGATGGAAAAGATTAAACGTCGCGAAACTCCAGCCGGTTGCCCACAGAAATGGATTGTTGCGGGAGCCGAAAAGCCAGAGAAGACACAGGTTTGCATACGACATTATGCCAGTTCTATCCGATACATATCGAAATATTTGGGAGAATATATCGTCCCAGCTAAGGTATTCGGGATGTTTTGGTCAGCGGAAATAAAGATGAACGGCTCGATATTATAACTCACAATAGATTCCCTCTAAACACATCATGTCCAACACAGGTGAGGACGAGACTGAAGATGTAAAACAGGACTATCACAATTGCTTCGATACGTGTTGGAATGGAGCACCAGTAAAACAACCGTTGATGGTGAGTTCCGAAAGCCGCAGGGATGATGAAGTAGGCCCTCACCCAGTGCCGCAACCGTCTGAGAGGGGAAAATAGGAGAGAGTTTCTAGAACCGATATTCAAAGGATGACCTTCGGCGTCGTATTTTATACCGCGCCGCTGGAGGCCAGAAAAGTGTATGAAGAGCCGATTCAGGATACCGGATAGGAGTACAATACCCCAGAACCAATAAGAAAAAACCCTTTATCCGCAATGTCAGTAGTGATAAATAGAGGCGCCTTTCAAGTAGGTCTTGGTTACTTACCCAAAGGCATGATGTGCCCACATTTCAAAGGCCCAAGCCCGCTGTCTCATCATAAACTAAACATCAGCAACTATATTCAAGTATTGGACATCCATTCCCAAGGAACACAACAAATATTTAGAAACCCAATAAAAAATAAATAAAGGAACTAACTGACATTCGTCCTGACCACCCTCTCATACCAATCGTACGACACCACTACTACCTCATCCAATTCCACGCTCGATACTTCGCCATACTCCACCACTCGCAAACCACGTAGATACCGCTCCGTCAACTCTGGCCGAACAGTTTCATACGGAATCCTATACAACCCATCCTTTTCACAATCATAATCGAGGACCTTCAGTCCGTCTCTGATTTCCGTTGATGAGCAGTACAGCGTCGCCGCAGCGTATATGGAGTAAGTGCGCAGCCTGTTGGTACATGTATCTATTTGCCGGGGAGTAGATAGTGACCCTGTAAAAGAGAGGCGGGATACGGCTTCGGCAATGGAAAGGATGCAGCGAGTAGACTCTATCTCTGAAGCCAGCGAGAACCCAGATGCCAGGAATATGAGGAGAGGGGTGAGGAATCGTTGTGGGTGCATGATTCCGTCTATTCCCCTATTACTCCCGCATATGTGATAGATTTGTAGTTTTGCAGGGGTAGTCTAGCTGCAGACGCTTCTCCTAATCGCAAAGATTCCGGTAAAATTATGAGAGGTGCAGTAGGCTGAAGAGCATCATATTAAGGAATCATAGCGGTTTTCAGGGGGTGTTGGAAAGGGATAGAAAGGGAGATAAATATATCCATGCAAAAAAAGCTGTAGAAGTGAGGAATGAGTGTTTTAGCGGGACATACACACAAACCCAACGTCTATCTCTCCATATGAAATTTCAAAGAAGATGAAGGAAAAAGGGAAAAAATAAAAAATAAGAAATAAAAAGACCCCTCGCTTCTTCCCTCGCCGTTTGTGACCGTCGTCGAAGGATGGAGAAGATCGAAAGACCAGATCAGATAAACCGGAAGGACGGGTAAGATCAGATAAGAAAATAGCCGGGGGCGGCACGGAAAGAAAAAAAAAAAAAAAAAAAAACACAGAAAGAAAAGAAAGAAAGAAAAATTGGTCAGTTTCCCCACATGCATTCTGGTTAGTTCGCAAAGAGACTAATAATAGCAAATAAAAATAGCTGACATGGGATTAATATCTTCCGCAAAGAGTTCTTGGGCCGGCGGTCGTATTATGCATCAAGCGAGAAAGGCGGAGGAGAGGGGAACATACGCAGGACTATGCTAACTAATGGCCGACCCACTCAACTTCCCACCCTCATCGCCGATTCATTATTAAGACAGAGGGAAGGAAGAAAGTGGTAATCCCTCGCTCAAGGGATTATTCAATATCATCAACCAGCCAAAAAGTACAGTCCATCCTCACTCTGCGTATCATGCCGTCCGTTCCTCCCAGTCCAGTCCCTTGCTATATTAATGATTGAGTGGTAATTAAGTGGCAAGCCATTCACAACATCGATTGAGGCTGGTTCCTGCACTAGCGCCATCAGATAAACTCTATTGGACGCCTGACCCATGGCATGGGGCGGCCAATGGGCAGGAACGGATCTGATAAGACACCCCCGGAACTCAGGAAGAGAATAATAATTGTTGGAAAACTCGCGGTCTGCGATATATCTATCAAAAAGCTAACAGAAAAGAGTGTGAATTGTTTTCAAGTGAAAAGAAGCTGGGGGAAAAAAAATAAAGAAAAATAAAGAAAAATAAAGAAAAATAAAATAAATAAAATAAAATAAAATTTGAGTCTAGAACAATCGAATTCGAACCCCAAGTCTCCATGTACCCAAACAAATTGGCAAACCGGTTCACCCTTCCATCCAACCCAAGGCACTATGGCGGAGTGGTTAACGCGATGCCCTGCTATTTATCCAAATTGCAGCGAAAAGAAGTAACTTTCTAGTTTAGGCATTTCCTTCGGGAGCGCAGGTTCGAATCCTGCTGGTGTCGGATCTCTTTTTCTTTTTTCTTTTTTTTTTGAAATTCATTTTTTTGTTTTCTTTATTTTTGCCTGCCTTGGGCAAACAAGAGGGTAGATTGAGAAGGTATTAGGTTGATTCGGATTAATTACCTTTTCTTTACCGCTTTTCAAATAAAAACGGCCATCTCAAACAGGAGCCGCACTACTGATAGGACAACGCCTGCTCCAGCTAGGAAAAAAAGCATAAAAGCGCTAAAACAAATCTAACATACATTGACAATTCAAATTTCAACCAGCAGCGGTATACATATATAGAGCACGAAACAAAATAAATAAAAGAGAAGAGAAAAATACTATACAGAATTTGGCTGAAAAGTAGACAAAAAAAAAAAAAAAAAAAGAGCAAAGCAAAGGGGCCGCTAAGACAGATGAAACGAAGAGACAAAACGCTCAAGAAAGCAAAAACTTGGTAAAGGAAAAGTAAGTTTATACATATATTCAATCAGCCATGCCGTTCCACCGCACGTTTCATCTCTGAGGCGAGAAAACGGGAAAGAGAAGAAGGCACCATCTCGAGTCTCCGACGTCACGATGAAAGGCAAATATAATATAACAGTACAACCAACCCTCAAATCCAGTGATAAAGCAAAGAATAAGACGACACACGAAACCCAAAGATACCTCAGCCAAATATGCAGAGAGTAGATTGACAGATTTTTTGAAAAGGAAATTCATCCACAGGTGAAAAAAGGGAAACACTGCATGGAGGCGAATCTTGAAATTCGTTATAACAAAGGGTGAAAGAAGAGCTGATGATAAGTGGTGCAAAAAAGATGACCAAAAGAAAATATGCCAAACAACATAACTAATCTTTCTTGGTATGAAAGAGCCTTTTTATCCCTTAATATAAAAAGAATGTGAAAATGTATGCAGTGTGCGATGGTGCTATTCTTTTGCTGAAGACAGAAAAAATAAAATAAAATAAAAGTAAAGTAAAAATAAACAAATAAACTCGTGGGGTATTCTCGCGCCAAAAACGAATGGAATGTAAAAGAGGTAAATTATTGAAAGAATTTGACGCCTGGGCTGATATGCAAGCAAGAATATAAGGGCAGAAGTGAAGAAAAACAATGGCGGCCCCCTCCTAGAAAGGAGGGGAAAATTCCTATTGGTGACTGATAATCGAAACAAGGTAAAATGGAAAACAAGAAAACAAGGAGCTGAAAAATTCCAACGGTAGTTGAACGGCATGTATAGGTTGCAAGATGTGCATGCGCATGCGTATATGTGTGTATGGGATGCGTATGCAAGATGTTAATGTCTATAATATCTTCTGTTTCCTTAGTTGGTAGCAGGCGGAGCAGGGGTTTATGATTAATATATTAAATACGTGTATATACCATCATGCACGTAGGGAAAAATAGTTTATCGCGTGAGAGAACGTTTATTTCGGAAAGGCGTCGTTGAATCGGCAGGACCTTTTCGTTCCTATATACTTTATTTGGTGTTATTCTTTCATTGAAGAATTCCCTTCTGGCACTTTTCACGCTCAGCTTGGATTTGGGCTTGTAGCTTGCGGGTCTGGCGGATTGCTTCGTCTCTGAAAGGGGGGGAACAACGTTAGTATATCCGGTTGGAAAATATATGCTGAAGGGGGAAGAGTGCATAGAAAGAAAAGAAAAGGTGCATACCTGTCAGATTGCAACTCAGCAACCTCAATCTGTGCCATATTCATACGACCAACAACAGTTTCCATCTCCCGATCAGCTTCGCGCAGGGCCTTCTCAAGCTCCTGGACGCGTGCTTCTACAGCCTCCATCTTAATAGCCTGGTTAAGGGAAATTCCCTCACCACTTGTTGTTTGGCCAAGCCGTGGAGACCGGGGTCCGGAGAAGGGTGATTTGGGCATCCTTGGGGAGAGTAAGGCGGGGCTTCTACTACCATTCTTCGCGCGCATGAGCTGGGCGTTGTGGGTTTCTTTCAGCGCCTCGATTTCCCGCTCGTGTTTAGCAACTTCCTCCTCGGAGGCATGCTGCGCGGCCATAAGGGCATCCTCGAGGAACTTGAGGCGGGTTTGCAATTCGTTGATTCTGGTTGCTGAGTTATTTTGTTCGCGTTCTCCCTTGTCAATTGCCTCTGAGAGACGCTGTTTCAATGCCTTGTTCGTGGCTAGTTGCTGGAGAACTTGTAGTCCGAGGCCATTGTCGGGGTCCTGGACATAAGCGCTGTCTGCTTGCAGTTGCGTGAAGGCATCTTCAAGCGAAGAGCTTGATGTATTGAAGTCTGCCAAGTCGCTTTTAGCTGCGGCGGGGACAAGGATATCGTGTTCCTGCAGTAGCGCGCGGAGGGAACCGGTCTCCTGCTCAGCACGGTCCAGGTCCATTTTCAATCCGGCCAATCCCTTCTCACACTGCCATTTTTGCTCCAGCGCCTCATCAGCCCGGCGCCTAAGAAGATTAATTTCCTCCCGCAAATTTATAACATCCCGTTCATAGCCTAATCTTCGTGGGGAACCTGATTGTCGGGCACGTTCGAGCTCAATCTCCAGCATCCGGATCCGCTTCTCGTTTTCTCGAGTTTGTACGTTCTGACGCTCAAGGAGACTCCTGACAGTCTGGTGGAGGGCATCACGTTGCATCTCTACGTCTTTCATCCGATCTACCAATGATTCTTTAAATTCACGCTCCTTGCCAATAATGGAGGCTGGTCGGGATCCCTGTCTTGAGACGGACCCTGAGCGACCTAGGCCACTTGGTCTTGGTAGGCCTCGTGCAAGCGAATTAGATCTTGACAGACTACCTTTACCCATAGACATTCCATCCTCTTCGGCAATCGAGTTTATTCGGACTTGTTGCTGCTGCATGTCTAGCTGTATTTTCCTCGCTTGACTTAACATAGCATTCTCGTTGCGCAATCCTTGCAAATCATGTTGTAATTTGGCTTGAAGCTGCGGAACAGTTTCATTTCGGAGTTGGTCCCGTTCATTTCGAAGCTGCTCGAGTTCGACTCTCATAGCCGTCAATAGATCCTCGAAGTTGTCTTTTAGCTGTCGTTCTTCCGTCAACCGCCGTCGAGTATCTTCTAATGCGGCCTCTAATTCTTTCGTTTTTGCGTTTATATTCGAGGCGTCCACTCTCTCACGACGTAGCTAGAATCAGGGATAGTCAGTTGAAGAAATACAGTTAGCTTGTGAATCCTGTTTATTGTGATATCATACCTGCTCTACCTGCCCCTCCAGTATCCGAACATGAGACTCAAAGGCGACGCGACGAGATCGCTCTTCCTGCCACCTTTGAGATAAATCAACTTTTAACTGAGCACGTTCTTGCTCCAGGTTTCGTTTCATTCTCTCGAATTCTTCCGCTCTGCTGCTGCCGCCAGCGTCGCTGAGCGGATATTTTACGGAGCTCGTTCCCGAATCGGAGAAGTAATCGCTAGTCCGACGGTTCGGCTCAGGCCCAACTGTAGCTTCCAGCTGTAATCTCTCAACCAAATCTTCCAATTCCATTTCACGTTTGATAGAGCCAGCCAATTCTGAACTGATCTCGCGCAACTCATGTTCCATTTCCTTCAATTTCGCGTTCATGTCTTGCTCTGCAATGGAGAACGATCGATCAGGCATTCTGGGGGCGGGAGCACCATACGAATCGTGAGAAGGGTAACGTGACGAGAAGGAAGTTGGCAGGGCTGAGCCATTGATTGGGGATGGAAGGTTTGAGTGGCCCGAGTCAGAGATCTCGGTGCTACTCGATTCTGCTCCAGGGGAAGACGCTGACTTCCAGCCGAAAAATGAAGTGATTTTATTTCCTGGAGTCTTTGGCTGGTTCTTAAATTCGCTGGGACTGGGCATTGTCTTTACTGAATCGGCTCGTAGCGGTGGTGGTCTGTTCGTTCGAGGATGTAGAGCCATAGTGACAGAGCGTTTGTGGTCTGCGGCTTTGTTTGAGCCCTGCGAGAGGGTGGGAGAAGCGAGAGGAATTAGGGGTTCGCTGACCAGGCGAGAATGAACGGATTGTTCCAAATTCCTTCCATTCGCGGATCCGAAATAGACTTCTCTTTGTTGGTCGATTGCCTTGGGAGAGAAAACAAGGGGTTGGCCGTGAGGGAATCTAAAGGTTCAAGGACAAGGGCAAGAAGGTTAGCCGTTCGTATTTAAAATAAGGTTACAGGAACAAAGCCAATGGGGAAGAGGATCGGCTCTGGGGGAGAAATCTAGAGGAATAAAACAAGAAATAAAAGAAAGCCGTTCAACGAACCGATCAAGATCCCTAATCACGAAGCTAGAAGAAGACGCTGGCGACGATGATGCTTCTGGGCTTTTAGAGTTATTGCTATTAATGGGAGGAAGAGGCTTTGCATCTAGGGAAGAAGCAGAGGCGGGGACGCCCGGGAGAGGCTTCCTGCGGGTGGGGGAAGAAACAGCTACGGATTGCCCGTTCGCAGGAACGGTCTGGAGAGGGAGAGCTTGTGGAGGAGTTTTCTGGCGTTGTTGAAGCAGAGTCGAATGAGAGGAAGAGGGCGTGGACGATAAATGGCTGTGGTGATTCTGAATGGCGGAAGCGCCCAGTGGAGGCGGACGGGCAGACATGGTCAATCCCTATTTTTCTCGCCGATGATTGACCAGTTAGGGGGAGAAGATGGCGTCCCTCTGAACCCCAAAGCAGCAGCGACATGGAACGGAGGGAGATCTATTGGTGACAATCACCCCCGAGACGACGTACGCAGCAGATATCGGGGAGGATGGAATGGGTCGATAAATGGGGGGGGGGGGGTTTTAAGGGCTGGAAGGGCGGTGGATGGGTCTACGCAGTACAGCGTAACACCGGAGCTCGAGCCACAAAAAAAAGAAAGGGGGGGAAAGGTTAAAATCTCTCGCTGTAGGGGAGAGGGGAGAGAGCGAGATGATGATTATTTTCAGCACCAGGCCTGCCTGTAGTACAACGTAAATACCCAGTAGTAGTACACAGAACAGCGTAGGAGCAGGGAAAAGAAAAACGCAAGTTAAGACTCCCATATCATATCCTGATTCGTGCCTAGTCCGTCCGTCCAGTCCTGAATTATGTTGAATAACAGCGTAAAGTCTCCACTCCGCCATTGGCCAGCCAGCTAGCTAGAATGGTGGCGGCATAAGCATATCATATGGCATGTCAACTCAGCTGAAACCCGCTTTAAAGTTCAAACAAAACTTCCAGTATTTCATTTCCCTTCATTCTTTGCCTTTGCTCTCATTCCCCAACTGTGTCAGTCTATTATTTCTCAAGATTAACAAGAAATCAACCAAAATAGTCCCCTTCCTGAAATCAATCGTTTCCCCCCTTTTTTTCGCAACCTGATTACATCATCTCAATCCAACCAATCACATCTCCAGATATTTAAAGTTTCCAGCGGCCTCGGTTGAAGTCACATGCCAACATGTCGCGGGCCTGTTGAATGAATGACTAAACGCGGGCCATTTTCATTTCATTTCATCTTTTTCTGATATCGTATATCTAATATCTAACTATGTATATGTATCTGCTCTGTAATCACTCTCTGCATCTCCACTCTCTGTGTTATTAAAGAACAAGCTGCGGGCGGGGGGGTGCATGTGTTATATGAATGTGTTGATGTGTTTGATGTGTTATTATATTAGCCAGCTTCGTCTTCTTTTCATTTCCAAGTGTCAAACTGCTTTTTTATTCCCCCCCCCCCTTTGTAGTTTCTCTTGTTCAACCCACAACTTTCTGGTCTTTATCTTTCTTTTCTTTTTATAAAAGAAAACCCCCACCCATCTCAGTGGCCAGCCAACACTTCCCTTCATCAGTCATCCTTGTCAAAACAAGCAAATCTTTGGAAATTCATTTTTCCTGCTCTGCATTTGGAGAAATAGTTGATTGCATTGCTTGTCTCTGAAAGTATCTTGGATTCTGTTGCATAAACTTTGCTTAGTTCACGCGCCTTGTCTCTGCCATTTTAGTTTTAAAGACAGAGGCAGAGGGGTTGTTGTTGAAAGTATCACAGACAGGTAAGCTGATAAGTCTTCTTTCTGTATGTAACTGTGACAAGAATACATGAGCTAATAGACTTTGAAAGGGGTGTCTAAATTTACGTGGTTTTGAAACACCAGCCAGAAGCTGTTCAACATGGCGGCTCTTTCAGCTCTCATTACTGTGCTGCAGTCAAATGTTGCTCTTAGATGGCTGCAGCAGATTATGTCCTGGAGAAGTCTTGCTATACTTCTGATTGTTGTCAATATCAAGTCTCTACCCTTTGCATGGCATGTATGTGCAGTGTCCTATTTTCTCTATTTGTTGACTTTCAGTTTGTATCTGTGAGTGAAGAACTCCTCACCAGGGGTTTTCATTTATCTGATATTGTGCGGTTTCCTCATGTCTTCATGATTGAAACTGTACTCTATACACCTGTGCATTGGAGGCTGGTGCTATGTGCAAAGACAAATGTGTAATCATCTAACCAGCTCATAAAACACATGTCTAGATCCGCGTTTTCTACTACCTCTTCAAAAATGTCAATTTCCACCTCCACACCCACCCAAAGCTCAAGGCGAGATTCAAGAAGCAAACAGGTGGTAGCGGCGCACATCCCCTCTTCACCCCCGTCAGCGTCATGAGCCACACCTCCCTCCTGGAAACAGACTACAACCTCCACAAGTCCAACAGCACCTACTTCTCCGACCTAGACATCTCCCGCACAGCCCTGGTGACCAACGTCTGCACCCCAGGCCTGGGAATCTGCCGACGAGAACTCGACAGGGAATTCGAAACTGTGCCAACTACCACTGCCAACGGCGCAAGTGGCGACAACAACAACAACAACAACAACAGCAACAGCAAGAAGACGAAGAAGAAGAAGAAATACCCCGGCAAACTAGCCGTCTTCCTCGGCTCCGTCTACTGCAGTTTCAAGAAGGAGATCCCCCCCTACGAACGCTACGAGATGCAAAGCCGCATCGCGGCCTGGGATGAGAAATGGCTGTATGTGGTGACCTTCTTCCTCCGCCCCGCGAAGCGCACTGGGGAGCCCAAGACCATCCTCGCCACCGCCATCAGCCAGTATGTCATCAAGAAGGGCCGTCTGACCATCAAGCCGGCGAAGGTGCTGAACGCTAGCGGTTTGATCCCTGAGCCTCCTGCGGATGCAGCGCCTGCCGCCTCCTCCTCCTCCTCCTCGTCCTCGTCGCCACCACCACCCTCGTCGTCGTCAAATGGCACGCCGTCGAGCGGCGAAGCCATCAATGCCAGCGAGGGGCTGGATGAGAGTGTTGTTGTCCGCGAGGTGCTGGCGTTGACGGAGAGTAGCGATATGGGCGCGGCGGTGTTGGAGAGTGCGACGAGGGATCGGCGACGGTCGTGGGATCCGGATGAGTGGACGTGGGAGCGGATTGAGGAGCGGAGGGTGCAGGGGATGGAGAGCTTGGGGGCGTTTATCGCGCTTGATGCGAAGTTGTTGCAGATGGTTGAGGGGTAGATTTTTTTTTCTTTCGTTTTGCTTTTCCGGTTTTTTTGGTTCCCCCCCCCCCCTACCCCCTTCTGTTTTGGGTACACGTTGGATTACTGTTTGGATATATGTAGAGTAAGTAGAGTAGAGTACGGGATTGGCGTTCGTTTCGCTTTCGGGGTCTCTTGTACAGAGTTAGAGAATTGTTTCTTCCTCTTTCCCCTCCTTTGTGTTTTGCACCGCTGCTCATAACACCCGCTTTCATTTCCCTTGGATCCTTTTTTTTACCTTCCCCAACATGCGAATGCGGGGTTTTCTTTTTTTTTCCATTTCCAATTTCCACCACCACTCGAGTTTCCTGTTTACTCACTCCCTCTATGCCCTAGTTTTCCTTAGCTACCCTACCTACCCTCCCTTAACTAATAATACCCCCACTAGTTGCAAAAAAAAAAAAAAAAAAAAAAAAAAAAAGATTTCCGGCCCCTTAGATTATTAGACTAGACGAGGTAGATAAGAAAGAGATCAACGATGTTTCAATGTTTTTCATTTTCATAGATGAAATATCCAGATGATGTAAACGACATATGGAGAGAGGGATTCAAACACAGTGTAACAATAACAAACAGGATTGACGCCACGAAATTCAACGCTCCATTTAGCAAAAAAAAAAAAAAATAAATAAATAAATAAATAAACCTTTTCCCCTTTAATTAATGCATTCATTCATTCATTTGTTTTGTTTTGTTTTGTATTCCTTTCCATTTTAAGTTAGTAATTCAGGCAAGGAAAAAAAAAAAAAAAAAAAAAAAAAAAAAGAGCAAATCGAACACAAATCGAAAGAATGCAACTATACCACCCACCACCCCCTGTACCATTTCCCTCCAATAATATTTATAAAGGAGCTATGCAAAGAAGTTGCTCCGGAGGTTAAAAGAAAAAAAAGGGTTAAGGTTTTTAAAATAGATGAGATAACAGCAGTGAGAGGAGACAATAGGGGGAGGGGTCATTAACCATGCTTGAACTGGACCGGGGACAAGGGACGGGGGATTCTGCCCCGGTCCAGGGGGGAATACGGGGGGGGAACGAAAAACAACCCCCCCAAGGGCCCCCCGCTGGGATTAGCGGAGGAGGTAAAATTTGGAAAAAAA